CAACCACTTTTTGGGTTTCTCATTTTTTTTAATCTTATTTTTGAATAAATATCATTATGAGGATAAATATCATAATAAAAGTAAAAATTTTGATCCATCTGTGATTTTAGGAACTCTTTAGATGAAGAGCCCGTTTGGTTGGAGGATTTATTTTCTGATTCAAATCATGGTTCGCTACCGTATTTTTCCTCACAAAAAACACACGTAAATCGAAAATGGTTCTAATCCATTAACTAAACAGGCTAGAAGCTTCTATGTTTTATTATCTATAAATCTTGATCAACTAAGATGGACATAAAATTTTCAATTATCCTCATCCAAGCGTATAACTACTCATCTCAATTATCCTCATCCAACTGTGAGTTCTCCAAATTTTCAACTAAGAGGCGTTCGATTGAGTTCAAAAGAAGGAGTGTTATTGTAATTAAAAGTATGCAGTGTACTGCAATTTTAATTTAGGCTAGGGGATATCAGTGTAATTTGGATATGGAGCCTATTTGACAGAGCTTTTTAAGAGTTACTTGTTTCTTAAGTCCGAAAGTTATTTTTGAAAGTCAGTGCTTTGATTTTTCATAAAAACTTATAGTCAAACCCAGAAACTATTACTTCAAAAACACTTTTGAATAGACTTTAAAATTTAATTAAGACATTATAAACTTAATTATAATATTTTTATTGTTTATTAAAAAATTTAACAATTATTTTGACCTATTAACCTATTTATTTTAAACACTAACTAAAAATCACAGTTTTATATCTCTTTTTTGATTGACGAGGATGTTTGGTAGAGGGATTCGTTCCCTGATTCGAATCATGATTCGTAATTTACTATAATATTTTCTCTCATAAAAAATACACATAAATAAAAAATAATTCGAATCACATGATTTATCATTTATCACGAATCATTCAACCAAACGTAAGCAAAAATAAAATCTCCGCTAAACGGCCATAACGAAGGTGTAATTTAGACATTACAACAAATAGAGCTCTACCTTAGAGCCCACTGTGTACTGTCCTGTCTGTCCACTTTGAGAAGAGACGCTGACAACGAAGCAGCATATATTTCATTATTTCCACCTTCTTTCTATTTTCCTTTTTATTTTTTGTCAATCAAAAAAGCAAAAAAGCAAAAAGAAAAAAAAAAAAGCATCTTTTGGGTAACCCCAGCTTTCTCTTCACCATCTTCTTTATCAGCTCTTTCATTTTCTTGAAATTTTACAATTTTTTTTCCCATTTTCAGTGGCGGTGGTTGAATTCATGGCTTCCTCACAGGACAACACACTCCAAGCTATATGCTACAAGCGGGGTTCGCTTCGGCTTCTCGATCAGGTTTTGTATTGAATTTCTCTCATTTTTTCTGAATATTTTTCTTTTTCCCCCCCCCCCCCCCCCCCCTTAAAGAGCGAAACTCTGCGTTTGTGGATTAATTTCTTTGTCGTTTAACAGAGAAAGCTTCCTCTGGAAACTGCGTACTTGGATATTCGGGACTCCACTGACGGATGGTAACGACATTTCTTTTGCTGTCGTATCGTATCATTTTTGCTAAGACACTACTATGTTGGGGCTTATTCATTGGATGAAGATATTATTTGCTAAGTTTACTTTTGTTTAAAAAAAAAAAAAAACGCTTGAGTACTTTGAAAAAGGAATGATACTAACAGAATGATAGCGTGAAAAAAAAATGGGGGTCAAGTTGACATAAAACTAACAATTCAGGGGCATTTATGAAATTTAAATTAGTTTGGGGGTGGTTTTGAATGATTTTATATAATTTAAGGAGTAAAATAGATATTTTAAAATTTAAAGGGCACGTTAGTTTAGAGAGTAATGTAGATTTAATACTAATCATCCCAAGACCAAGTTCATAACTCATTTCATTATTCCATTTAGACCAAGTATTTGTTCATTCATGGATGATCGTAAATTCTTAGTTTTCAATCGTCAGGCATGCCATAAAGGATATGGTGGTCCGTGGTGCTCCTGCTATTGCAATTGCAGCAGCCCTTTCTTTGGCAGTTGAAGTGTCTAACTTGGATCCGTTTGATGGGTCCATTTCCGACGCAGTTTCTTACCTTATCATGAAATTGGATTACCTTGTCTCAAGGTGCTGAATGTTGCTTATTTGATCCTCTTTGTCACTCTGATAAACAACTTTACTTTGTTCACTTTTGTAACCTATTTGCATTCCCTTTAAACAAAGTTGCCTAGACCTTATTGTCTATGTTTTGAATGCTACTTCAGCCGACCAACTGCTGTCAATCTTTCGGATGCTGCAACGAAACTTAAAGAAGTTATATCAAAGGCTTCTGATACTGCTTCCGAAGCCAAAAATATATTCCAAGTAAGATATTTCCATTGTGCTTCGACTTTTTTGTACCGATTTGCTTATTATTTTAGCAACCGTGTTTGTTTCATTGAGATTTTTGCTTTGTTTTCATCCTAGCATTAATGCAAATCTCATGCATTCATTGTTACTAAATTTCCATAGGCTTTTATAGATGCTGCTGAAATTATGCTCGAAGATGATGTTGCTTCCAATAAAGCTATTGGGTCCTATGGAGCAGATTTTCTTTATCGGCATGCCGATGATGGTTCTAAGAAGTTCTCTGTATTGACCCATTGCAATACTGGCAGGTATATCTCTAAACATGCTCTTAGATTATTACACACCTTTCTTCTACGTGGCTCAAGAAGAACCTGGATTTTGTCTAATTGTCTTTTGATAATAATGCAATTTGTATTGTCAGTCTTGCAACAGCCGGATTTGGTACTGCTCTTGGTGTGATACGCGCACTCCATACCCAAGGAGTGTTGAAAAGGGCCTACTGCACTGAAACGCGTCCATTTAACCAAGTTAGCATCCCTTGCATAATCTCCCTATTTTTGGTTTATCCTTGCCTTCATTTTTTAGGGCATTGAGGTTGTATTTGGTTTCTGTTTTGCCAAAAATTTGGTAGTAATTTCGAGCAAAAAGTAAAAAGGTAGTAAACGTGTAATCTTGTAATTAGTTTCTGAGTTTGTTTCCATAACCAATTATAGGGATCGCGACTCACAGCATTCGAGTTGGTGCACGACAACATACCTGCCACTCTTATAGCAGACTCTGCTGCGGCAGCACTAATGAAAGATGGGCGTGTGAGCGCTGTGGTTGTCGGAGCAGATCGTGTTGCTGCAAATGGTACTGCGTTGCACTTGACGATTTATCTACTTATCAAAATTAAAGTGATGGGAGCTTTGCTCATCTGATGTATTCTACTGAATTCAGGTGATACTGCCAACAAGATTGGAACTTACAGTCTTGCCTTGATTGCTAAGCATCACAACGTCCCATTTTTCGTGGCTGCGCCCCTCACTTCCATCGACTTGTCTCTTTCATCCGGACAAGAAATTGTAATAGAAGAAAGATCCCCAAAAGAATTATTGCACACGCGAGGAGGACTTGGCGAACAAGTTGCTGCATCCGGAATAGCTGTTTGGAACCCAGCTTTTGATGTCACCCCTGCCAATTTGATATCTGGCATCATTACAGAGAAGGTCTGGGCTCTTTCTTTGATCTGTATTTCTATGTACCTAAAGGGATAACATGAAGCTGGTAATATTTCAGCTGACGACTTTGTTTTCTTTTCTCCTAGCAGGGTGTGATAACAAAAGTGGATACTGAGGAGTTTGACATAAAGGATTTTGTACAAAAAACTGCTGGGTAGTGTTGAGAGTAGTGGACGGGTAACACTGCTCAGTAGAGGGGCTTCCTCAATCACCAAGAAAACATCTTATTTAGCAGTTATGTAACTCTAATAATTGTGAGGTCAGCATTTCCTTACGCTACGCTCAATTTTCAATAAGTCTTTGTTTGAAAAGTTTGAGAAGAACGTGTGTTTTGGGATTCTTTTTTTCAACCATGCTACATCCTACCTCATGTTATTTGACCTAGTGGCCGTTAGGGCGTTTTTTTTTTTTTTTTTTTTTTTTTTTTTTTTTTTTTTGCAAAAAATTTTCTTTTGCTTTTCCTCGCTAATGCATGATTGAGGCCCCGTTCATTTCACCGATTCAAATTTAAAATTTGAGTTTTGTTATAGTAAAAAGCTCTTTTAAACAGTCACATCTAACTTTTTTACTATAGTAAAAAGCTCTCACATAAAGTCACATCTCAACTCGAATTAAAAACTCGAATCAATGAACTAAACGGAATGTGCACCTGCACATATCTCACGCCCGCGGCCCATCCCATTGACTTCTATTTTTGGTACTAGATGCATGGATAATCATGCAATTGAAGATTCCCCTTAAACTCAAGAGTTAAATTGGATAATTATGCAATTGATGATTCTCCTTGAACTCAGTTAAATTGGGGAACAGCAAAAGTCACAGCAAAACTCAGGTCTAAAACTAAGGACATGGTTAATTATGCAATTGATGATTCTTCTTTTAACTCAAGTTAATTTAGGGAACAGGCAAATTCAGGTAAACTCAGTGAAGTGTACAGGTTCTGCAGTTTATAAATAACTGGCTACAGTTTAATTGATAAAAGATCTCTCCCACCCAGGGGGGAAAAAAAGAACAGGAAAAAAAAAAAAAAAAACCACCGATAAATGAACTCATGTTAAACCTTGCCCTTATAGGACAACTCTTAGACTATGTTGGTAAACTTTTTACTACAATATTTTTTCTTACAAATATTTAAATTTAATTTTTACCGAGCCTTATAATAGTTGATCCGTCAAACATATTATTGATAGTCTTAGCATAGTCGCTTCTCGTAATGCAACATTCAATATTGATGAATGCTTAATCCAAGCAATAAGCATAACTAGAATTAACAATGGAATGAAAGTTAAACTTAAAACTGCTTGTTAATTAGAAACTACGAATTCTTTAACTGACAAAGTAAGAGATACAAATTCCCAACAAAGATGAGCCAACTTGATGATCCACACGTTGGACAAGCAAGCAACCGCCATGTGAGAAAATAGTAGCAATGTGAAGATTAACAAAGCGTAGACATTTAAGTCATTTTGTTTCAACTACAAAAAGACGCTAATAAACACTCGAAAGCAAGAAAAGTTCAAAGACAGGGTATAGTGTTCTCCAATTTTGCTCCAGTCCATGCAGGGCAGCTTGGCATTAAAGGCCTTTCCAATCTTTAACGGTACTGTAAAACATAAAATAAGAAAGAAAAAAAAATATCAGATCTAGACATCATAATAAAGTTCAAACAAAGGGTTGCGTCCAACAACGAAAACAAAGGCACTTGGGGATTTCAAATGGGGTAATAACAAAAATAAAATAAAAATAAACATCACTAAAATGTCCCTAGCTAATTCAAAAAAAAAAAAAAAAAAAGAAAGGCATTTGGGGATTTTATATTGGATATAACAAAAAAAAAAAAAAACAAAAAAAAACAAAAATCTCCCCTTTGTTTTACCACCCTATGTGTTCAAGAATGTTGCACCTATCCTACTTGTTTTATCGGAATATTGCGTTTCACCTTATTTTTACAAATACTGTCAAAACTTAGGGTCCATTGATTCACCGACTTAAACTCATGATTTTGATTTTGATCTCTCACAAAAATTTGAATTAAAAAAGTTCCCATCAATAGATTCTGTCACAAAATTTAAATTCAGAATTAAAATCACTGACTTGAACATATGAACCTAATGGGCTTTTAATTTTTGGTAAGGCTGGGAGAGATAGGTGCCGCATTACTGAACACCTAAGTGGAAGTTGCAGCTTATAGCATTTGGGGGAGGTTTTTGCTATCATCCATTTCAAAATCTATTATAAGAAAACCAAGTTTTGTTACAAAATCAGACTGCAATACAAATGAATTCTCTTTAAATGACATACAATACGCTTTGAAACGAAAACGCGAAAAAACAAACTATGCAATGACAAAAGCACAGCCAATACAAACTGCATCTGTAGACACAGGTATTTTAAAGAACATTAAAGCAAAACAACATTAACAATTATGGTGAATAAATAACATTGCTTTGAATCTCATCAAAGAAGAAACAAACCTTGATGAAACCAATTTCCTTGGCGTTGCTGCGGAAGCACTGCCTGCAGCACATGAGGCCGTACTTCCTGATCAACCCATGTGGGTTTCCGCAAACACGGCTGATATGCACAAATCAAATATTGTTATTATTGTTATTAGTGCAAAATACAAATTAACACAATCCACAAAATAAAACATAATTAACATCAACTAAACCTATGCATATTTACTGGTTAAAATTTTTTTTTAATTTTTGGTATGAAAGGGAAAAAAAAGTTTAGGAAAAGATGAAAGGAAAACAAACCAGGCGCGAGATCCAGGGCCGTAGTTCTTGGGGTGAGAGTTCCAGACATTGGAGTGACCCATCTTCTCAATCTATCGCTTCAACTTCGCAGAGGCAGAAAACCAAAAGCTACGACTGGATTCTGCTGACTATTCTGAGAGAGAGAGGAAGGAGCAAAACCCTAATTTTTAACACTGAAATGCCCAACAGAACTTCTATGAACGACGCCGTTCCTTGTTGGTCTCGCTAAAAAAGAATATATATGGAAATTGCCCCGTGTGACCTTTAAAAACGGGTATTTCGGACATTTCACATCCCGACAGGGGTATTTCGGACAGTTCACATCAGAAACGACGACGTTTACAGGTACCGACCCGAGAAGAGCGCGAAAACGAATCGGAGCGAAAGTCGCATCGTACATACCAGAGAAATGTGAAAAGAGGTAGAAAATAGAGAAATTTCCCTTTCACCAGAGAAATGTGACGAACTCAAAAGAAATCAGAAAAAAAAAACTTTGCTCTCTTCTCCGATCAAAGTGGGAAGTGGAAGATGAAGAAATCGCCTCTGCCATTGCAGCAGAGCCCGGTCTGCTCCGAGAAGCAAATTTACTCCAAAGAAGCTCTGGTGAAGCTCTTGAGGTGGCATTTCGGCCATGCCGATTTCCGAGGCAAGCAGTTGGACGCCATTGAAGCTGTTTTGTCAGGTCATCATTCTACATTCGATTTTCTTTTTGGTTGATTTCATTTTTATCGGCGGTGTGAAGTTTTGTTAGTGATTCGTTTGGTTGCCAAGAAAGCGCGGGAAAAGTTGAAGCAGTGGAAAACTTGTCGCTCTTTTTTTTTTTTTTTTTTGGAAAAATAGACCTATATTTCGATTTATTGTTTGATTAATTCATCGACGGTGTAAATTTTTCTGAATGATTGGTTTTTCTTTTTTATTTGTGTGATGGAACTGAATGATTCGTTTGGTTTCCGAGAAAACACGGGAAAACTTGAAAAAAAAAAAAAAGCAGAAAACTTTGTAGTCCTTATTTTTTTAGAGAATGAAGTAAACCGTTTTTTCTTTTTTTTTTTTGCGTTTAATTAAATTGGAATTCTTTTTAATTTACAGGAAGAGATTGCTTTTGTCTGATGCCAACTGGAGGGGGAAAATCAATGTGTTATCAAATCCCTTCACTGGCAAAGAAATCCGGAATAACGCTCGTCGTTTGTCCTTTGATAGGTGAATTTTATTGGTTCAACTCGTTTAGTTTCTCATGAATTTTGGGTGGAACTTAAGTTACATGTTTTGTTTCTTTGCTTTTGTTTTCTGTTGTCAATGTTGGTCTTAATGAATGAGAGGCGCCTCTGATTTCTCCCTTTGGTTATTTGATTCCGCAACCAGCACTAATGGTGAGCATATTGGAACTCTAACTGTTTGTTGTGGTTCTATATTCTAAGGATGCGGTTTCAGATTATGGGATTTTGTATGAAAACAGGAAAATCAAGTGGCTGCATTGAAAGAGAAAGGAATTGCTGCTGAATTTCTGTCATCAACCCAAAAATCTAGTGTAAAAAATAAGGTGAAATATGGTGCTTTTGGTATCTTATTGTTGTTTCTTTACCTACCTATTTTATGTGTTAAAGTTTTTGCGCAAAAGTTTTGATTTTTGTGAGTAACATCAAGGACATTTAGAAATCTTTTGAGCTAAAATGCTAGTCATAAAAAATTACGAGGAGGTTGATCTAGAATGAAGGAATTGTTAATTTTGCACAAAGGTTTGTATTTTATTTGTTAAGTTGTCTTTAATGCAACTTCCTAGTTTTTTGTTAGAAGCTGGTAAAAGACGGCTGACTTTTTGTCACATTTGAGAAGACTGAGCTTTCTTTTTTGTATTGTAGATCTACGAAGACATTGATTCTGGAAAACCTTCTTTAAGGCTTTTGTATGTCACCCCAGAAATGATTGCAACATCAGCATTTATGTCAAAGTTGACAAAGATCTACATGAGAGGATTGTTGAATCTCTTAGCCATAGATGAGGTACGGAAACTAGGTTATGTGTTTCAGCTGGAAATTTAACGTGTCATATTAAGTTCACCTCTTTTTGGAGAATTTCAGGCGCATTGCATCTCTTCTTGGGGCCATGATTTCAGGTTTGTGAAATGTAATATTAATACAGCCTATTTCTAGCTATAAGCCTAGTACAGATAGAACATGCATCTCTCCTAGGAAGTATGTTCTAGTGTTGAATATCTGTCATCTATTACTTTATTGTCTTCAGACCAAGAAAGGAGCCTCTGTTATATGCAAACCAAAATCATATGGCAACTACCTGACCCATCAATTCCTCTTAGTTTGTATTACTGTGTCAACACTATATCTTTCGTTCTATAACCCAAAAGTCAGTTCTTCCTTGGGTCGCTTTGAAGTGAGGCTTAATGGAAGCCCACCCCTTCTGGGGGGAAAAAGATCTTGGACATGTTTAACTATTATGTTAGACTTCTCATCTTGTTAGTTTAGTAAATTTTATATAGTTATTAATTTGTTTAGGAAAAAACCCCAAGGGGTAGCTAAAGTGGCTCGGGACCTCACCTTACAAGTGGGAGGTGTTGGGTTCGATTCCCCTTGGGGTACCTCCCTCAGCTTGTCTCTGTGTGTTCGGATAGGAGGGTTTACACACACCCTTAGGGATTAGTCAGGTGCTCAAAGAGGCCTGGATACCCTAGGTTATTAAAAAAAAAAAAATGTTTAGGAAAATGGGCAACCTAGTTTTGATTATATAGACTGTCAACACTTTGTCACCTAATTTTATATTTTATCTTTTTGAATGTCATATAAAATAGGCCTAGCTACCGTGAGCTTTCATCTTTGAGGAGGCAACTTCCAGGTGTACCAATACTCGCTTTGACAGCTACAGCCGTTCCTAAGTGAGTCTTTTGATGCACCATGCAGTACCGTTCTTACAATATCTCTGAAGATTTTTGTTCTTTCTCTTAATTTTATTTGGAAAGTACAAATTTAAACTATGAATCACGGAGAAATATTATTCCTTTGATTTGGCCTGCAGAGTTCAGAAGGATGTCATAGAGTCCTTATGCTTGCATGACCCTCTCGTCCTAAAATCATCTTTCAATCGTCCTAATATATACTATGAAGGTGTGTCCTGCTTCCCTGACTTTATGCATATCTAGTGTTGGAAATTTTCATTGAGAAATATCCGTTAGTTTTGTTAATTTTGCTCGATGTTTCTGGCCCTTTTCTCCGTATCATATTTTATGGGAGCTCAATTTGAATTCATGTTTTACAATCATCTTGTCAATCTTTCATTGTGGAATGTCAATTTTTTGTTTGACGGTGTGCACCTTAGTCAATTGTTGAACCAATCTAGATCACATCAGGTACGAGTAAACAAATGCCATGTATGCTGTTCCCTTTCCAATTATAGAAGAGAAGGAACAGAGTAAAAATATTAGATTAATGAACTTTGGGAAGCCCTTTCAATTGAGATTCCTTTTCCCTCATAAACAATTTATTCTGATTGGTGGGATGTGTCATGTGTCTTCTGGTTCTTTTGTAAGTTTAATATTTTCAAGAAGTAAACTGGATGTAAGATGAAATTATTCTTTATGTAATTTACTAGATTTTTTTTTATGTTACAGTTCGATACAAGGACCTTTTAGATAACGCCTATGCTGATTTGTCTAACCTGCTCAAATCTGAAGGAGATGTTTGTGCTATTGTTTATTGCCTTGAGCGTACAACATGTGACGCCTTGTCTGCTCATCTATCAAATAGTGGCATTTCTTGTGCTGGTATATATGTGATTTTTCCCTCAAAATTTTTTTGAGCGGTTACCACTTAATATGTGCTAATGTTTCTTCCTTTTTCTTTTGTCAAGCTTACCATGCAGGTTTGAATAATAAATTGCGTACTTCTGTTTTAGAGAATTGGCTTTCTTCTAAGATACAAGTTGTTGTGGCCACAGTGGCTTTTGGGTAAGATCGTATACAAGATTTTTATGCGAAAAGGAGTTTTGTTAAGGTTTCATTGTCTGCTTGAATATTGTCAATGCTGATGATGTTGGACTGTTTATATGTTGTTTTAATTGTTTGCGGGCTCAATTTGTATGATTAAGTCGTCGTGAGACAATGTTTAACTTTATTACTTCCAGAGTTTGGGGTGTGCATCAAATACCTTTATTGTTTTCTTTTCTTTGTTTATGTGTTGGGTGAGAGATTTTGCTTAACATGTACTTGGTTTTTTATCTTATTGTTTCCTCTTTGTAATTTATATGGTTTGTGATGCATTCCTTGCTTTCCTTTCTATGCTTTGTTGGGAGCTGTGGCGGTGTACCTACAGTAACTGAACTACTGGTGTTCCTTCAGGATGGTATGCAACTCGGTCACTATTTATTCTACTACTTTTCCTTTTAAGTTAGGGAGTTAAAGCACATATCATGTGTCACTAATTGCTCGTGGTCAATTTCTTAAGGGTATAGATAGAAAGGATGTCAGGATTGTTTGCCATTTTAACATTCCAAAGTCAATGGAAGCCTTCTATCAAGAGTCTGGTAGAGCTGGTCGTGATCAATTACCCTCCAAAAGTTTGTTTTACTATGGAATTGATGATCACAAAAAAATGGTTGGTTAAGTGTCTTAAACGTTGTCATCCACAAACTACCCTAAGTTCCATGGTTTCCACGTGACTTTGTTTCTTGTTAATTCTATGTTTTTCAGGAATTTATTCTAAGGAACACTGAAGCTAAAAAGTTAAAGGCTTCAAACGCACAGGGAGAAAAGTCAAAAAAATCCCTGACTGACTTCCATCAGGTAACATTTAATAAATTTCATGTTTGAACGGACCATTCTTTGTATGGTTGATATTTTATGAAGCTTGAGTACAATACATGCAGATGGTTGAATATTGTGAAGGCTCCGGATGCCGTAGGAAAAAGATTCTCGAGAGTTTTGGAGAGCAGGTACAGTCATCAACTACTTTTGGATGCTTAATGTGTGTTTCCAAGCTCAAAGTTATGCACTAACATGTCCAAAACAGGTACCTGCATCACTATGTAGGAAGTCATGTGATGCCTGCAAACATCCGGACCTTGTCAAAAAGCATTTGGAGGAACTTACAGCTACTTGTGCTCTTCGGGGTAAAGCCAGTTCCTCACAAATTTATATAAGCAGGTGAATCTTCAAACTGTCCCAGTGCTTTTTTAGTTAAAGGGTCTCTCGTGTTACATTAGGTCATCGCTTTAACGATTGTGATATCGTAAGTGGCACACCCTAAAAAAGTGTAATTCCATTACCTAATTCTCAAGTGCAAGAATTACATGGTCAAGTGGAATTCAGAGAGGTGAGGTGTAAGGGTCCGTTTCTTAAACAGATTCCAATAATGGTGGTCTGAATTTTTTTGGTTTGAAATGAAAAGTTTGAAAAATGTGGTTTAAGTTTTGGTTCAAACCATTGAAAACAGTTGGGGAAGGGGCGATAAACTTAGATTTTTGAGATTTTTTTGGTTTGAAACATCAAACAGGCCAAAAGTTTAAATATTGCCCAAGAAATAAACATGTTTTGAACCTAATATTGCAACAAAGAGGACACTGGTTGAACTCACGAGAAAAGGTATCATAGCAACAAGGTAAACCGTAACAGTAATCAATTGTTGTTTTGACAGAAAGCTAACATTGAAATCTGCAGAGACACTTTTGTTGAAAAACCGCAACCCACAATTCTTAGGTGCTAATTTTTATGCACATTCTGTTTCAGCTCCTTCAATATGGTTGACAAAGGCGATTTCTCTGAATTCTGGAATCGTGCTGATGAAGCAAGTAGTTCTGAGGAATCCATATCTGACTCTGATGGTAATCCCTTTTCTCAAGAAGCTTTATTTGGTATACTGTGGTGGGGGTTGGTGGGGAGGTAGAACATTAAAAGAAAGAAAAAACAGTGAACGAAGAAGTTACTGAACTGAATTTTGATTTTCTTGTGTCCCTCTTACTGCCAGACGGTGATGATGTTGTCAAAAGTCTAGCCCAGTCAAAATTGCCAACAAACTCAGGATTAAAGGAAAGGTTGGATTTCTTGCAACGTGCAGAATCAAAATATTACGAGACCAAAACCTCTGATGACCAGGTATATTCGCTGTTCCCACACATATGCCCATTATATTGAAAAACTATATTGATAATTACGACTAATAAGGTATTAAGTGACGTACCTTTGGCAATCATGACTATTATAGCTGCTTTTGGACCATGAAGCTTGCGCATTATAATTTCTGTACTGCATGAGTGCCTTTCTGTCCTTCTATTTGACTTGTGATGCAAAGCATTGGGAACTAAAATACACTACTCTAAACGAACTTGGTTCATTGGCCATGTACAAAGGTGGAACTGACGTGTTACCTAATTAGTTACAACTATGATGTGTGTTTGCGGTGCATATATATTATTTGGACTAAATTGATCTTTGAACCTACTTTAAATTTGTTTTCCCTGCAAAAACTTAACCTTGTCTGTATTCAATGAAGGTCAAAAAACCAATCAAGAATGCCATATCTGATACGCTGAGAGAATCAAGCAGAATGAGACTACAAACTGCACTCAAGCAGGCTCAGCAGCGGCTTGGCAGCATAAAGTATGTGCATAACTCCATGTTTTAAATTTTTTCACCATGAAATTATGGTGATCTCAATGCCAGAAGTTCTTTTGCCGAAAACTCATTTCATTTATAGTACATCTCTTTTCGGCCATCGGAAATTTGATCTGCTCATTGTTTAAACTCTCCCAGGCTTGAAGTGGAAACATCGGCCACTTTTCTTGAAAACGAGTGTTACAACAAATATGGGAAAACCGGGAAATCGTTTTATTACTCCCAAGTGGCAAGTACTGTGAGGTGGCTTTCAACCAGTACTACTGTGGAGTTAATTGATCGGCTTGGAACCTCTACAAGTTCCCCATCACAGAGTGTTTCAACAAAAGCAGAAACTCACACTACAACTCCTATGGTGGAACAGAGTCATAGAGAAAACACCACCGATGAATTTCACTCTGGCATTGGATCACAAACTCCCACATGTGACTCACCCATGGAAAGTGCTTCCCCTAGCACAGAACTGTCTCCAATTCCATCATTTTCAGAGTTCATCAACAGCAGAAAGGCAAAACACATCCCATCGAGGTCGTCAAAAAGGCAATCGCCCGATAGAGTTGAGAAGGATGTTGAGAAGAGGATGAGGTTGCAATAAGCTCTGAGTTTGTTGGTTTCTTTGATTTCGTATTCATGGAGGAAGAAAACACGGTGATTTTTGAAGCGACTATTTTCTTTCTAGTAGCCTACTATGAAAATGTCTCTTTTCCCAGAAGGCATGGCAATTTGCAACCCCTTCTCCCCGTCCATCGTCGTGCGTTTTTTCCTTTTATTTTTTTGGCTGTAGTCGAGCATATTTTTCAGATGTTTGCCAAGTGCAATTTTTGGACGAATTATAGTAGATAATTTTGTTTCAGTTCTTGGAAAGCCATGAGTAAGATGCTCGAAAATAACTTTTTTATTTCTTGGGTTTTTTTTTTTTTTTAACTTTTTTAACAATGTGGTATTGAGCCCCACTCCACCCTGTGGTGATTGCCAGCTCCATATTTGTTGTAGTTCCTCTTTCAACTTAAGGTTGATGTCGTTTCTAGCTTATGCTATTTTGGCCGTCAATATCCTGTATTGAGGTAGTTGTCGTTTTCTAGTAAAATTCTGTTGTTTATTATCGCATTCGCATCTGTCGTCGTCACTTCTCCGGTTAGTTTTAGTGTCATTTCTGTAATTGTGTCCTTTTCCCAGTCAATGCCATTGCCTTTTTCTTTTGTTTTTTCTCTTCTTGTTCATTAAATTATCGTTCTTCCAGTTAATGTCGTTTTTCCCTCTATATCATTTATTGAGACGGTTGTCCATTTTTAACCCATTCTCGTTTGTATCTTTATTTTCATTTCCATTTTGTATCGTTTTCGAGTAACTCTGTCCATTCTACGCTGCTGTCTATTTTATGAGTTTTTGAAGTGTTTCAGTCAACGTTTAGATCTCGTGGTTTTTAAATTCAATGTAGTTTATTGTTTATTGTCGTTTCACTACGTGTCGTTTTTCAGTCATGTAATTTGTAGGCATCGCTGTCGTTTTCCCTCGATTAAATAGGTTCTTCATTGTTATAGTATCTAAGTCAACGTGTTTCTTTTTTACTGCCTTTTCTCCAGTAATGTCGGTTTTTCCAGTTTGTTTAATGTTGTGGTTTCACCTCTCAAAGTCGTTTATTGAGCATTTCCGATCTTGGTTGTTTTATTGTCGTTTTATTATCCTTTTTATTGTCGTTTTCCTGTCATTTTCCCACAAAGTTCCAAGTCTCTCATGCTACATAGCATTAATTCCACAAATCTATTATATGATTGCCACATTACAAATTTCCCATATTATCCTTGTTATTGTCGTTTTCTTGTCGTTTTCCCACAAAGTTCCAAGTCTTTTCCGGCTCTAATTTATGCCTTAAGTCCGTGCTTTATGTTACCATTGCAGGCTTCTCAAATATGCTTTTATCATTTTTTTTATATGAATAAACACGACAATATAAGCAGCCTAACGACACAAACCAAAAAAAAAAGAGCAATAAACGACTACACTTATTGAAACCAAACCCCCCTAAACCACCTACATCAAAATGCTTTTCATTTTTCACTAGTTGCTATAGTAGTTAGTACTTAGCACCATTTTCTGTGCTTTATTGATTTATACATACGACAGACATCCATTACTAGTTACTAATTAGCAGCTTTCAGGGGTAACTTCCCAATGAAGTCTGAGTTTAGGCTTCCCAAGTAGAGATGATCCTCAAATTCAACAGCTGTTGTAACGAAATTCATAACCTTTCCTTTGGAATCATCAAAATGCCTGGTGATCGTTCCATCGGCCGCCACATTCACTACCGTCGCCTTTCGTTTAACGCCGTTAACTAGGTCAACCAGTTTTGGAAAAGTTGCTATGAATTTCTTGATCACCTTAGAAGTGTGCACAAACTCAAGCCCCTTAGGCGTCAGCTGTGTGGCATACAAGTGATTCTGGTTAGATGGTCATAGAAGCCTATTTATAATCTAGTCATATATATATATATATATATTTCATTTCATATTTCTTGAACTTTCATGTCAAACAGCTCAAGAGTTTTATATTTACCTGAAGTAGAGCGATCCAGAAAGACCCATCAGGGGCAAGATTGATGTTATCAGGTCCACCAGGAAGATTTTCAATGAAGATTTCTGTTTGCCCTTTTTTCTCTCCCTTAAGCCAATACTTCCGACACCTATATCTGTTTAACAAAACAGTTGGTTTGAGTAGTTGAGACAAAGACTACACATAATTCATGAGTAATAGACAGTGATTAGAGTGAGCCAGGGTGGAGCTACACTGGACTCCATAGTGGACGTTTAATTCATGGGTTCAGAATTATGATTCAAAACTATTTTCAGTTTACGTGTATTTTTTTTTAAAGAAAATATTGTGTACGAACTATGATCCAAACCATGATACGAATCAATGCTCCAAACGCACCCACAGTGACTCATAATGATTAGAGAAAATTAGAGACGGAGCCAAATTAGGTCCAGACAGGCGGGAATAGCTGCCCTGGACTTTAAAAAGATTTCAATACCTCAAGTTTTGACTTTTAAATGTATTCATATTTCAAACTTAAAATCTCAAATAAATCAACTGTGGTACTATATAAACTTATATATTTTTAGACTGTAAATTTTAAAAAGTGATCAAATTCTATCAGCATAATTCATTCAAAAGAAAAATAAAACATGTAATAAAATAGAGAAAAACAAAGGAAAAAAAAAAAAAGACATAGAATTAAGAAAAACATAGTCGCGATATAATTTTAATTCAAAATCGTGATTCCACAGAGAGCTTTCGTTTTTCTTGTGCTAAAAGAAGTATTGTGAACAAGAAGCTTACTTCCACGTTTCACAGAACACCAGGTAATCTTGGTCCTTAGAGAGAGCAACACCATTAGCAAAAGCCAGATCATCAAGTAGAATTGAAGTCTGTTTTGATGATGGGTCGTACTTGAGCAGCTGCCCATGAGGTTTTGCCTCAAGAACGTCTAGATACCAATCATGGAGTCCAAATTTTGTGCTCGCAACACTAAAATACAGACTACCATCTGATGCTTCAATTACATCATCTGCAAAACTGATCCAAACAACCAATTAATTACACTGTTTTACCTCACAAAAAGATTGTAATTTATACGTGCCCTTCTTTTTTATTAACGAAACTTTGACCTACTCTTATAAACTAAAAACTGCACTATGCATTCATGCAAGAGGCTCAAGAACTGGTCATATACTGTAACATGTAAAAGTTATTAGAGTGTAACAAAAAATTTGTCCTTATGTAATAGTGATTTTAGAAAAGTGTAAGAATATTACAGTACCTTATTGCACCAAAAGCGATGTAACATAAAGTAAATGTCTTGTTATGCTTGACTTCTACGTTTTATGTTAATTTCGTTAAGCGTTAAATTTTCACGAACTTGATAATGCCGACATTTTTGTCTTCAAAAAAGTTATAAGAACGCAACATAAAATTTATTTTATGTAATAATAATTTTAGAAAAGTGTAACGATAAAGATTAAATATCATATTACACTTCTGCAAAATCAATGTTACATAAAATTAAATGTCTTGTTAAAATGAATGGAAGACCGAAGACAAGCTTTGTAATTTTATGTTAGTTTTGCCACATGCTAAAGTTTCCCATGTCACGCCGAAACTCGTACGTGACAATGTCGGCATTTTCGTTCTTCAAAAAAGTGCACAGGGAAAAGAAAAACGTGGCATGTACATCAGTTTAGCAGGGAAAAAGACACCACGTGATCTTCCTTCATGAATAAAAAAGTTGCTCATTTATCCGAACATGTTAAAACTTGGTATGGTTACTGACCCTGCACTAGTCCATTTTGGATGACTCGGACACTGACAAGAAACCTTAGTATATAAGTTACATTTCACGCACAATAATAGTTTCTTGGAATGAACCCCGTGGCAGATTCGTTTCCTGAGAAAACCTCTGGTCCAAACTCCGGATTTTGATAGCTCCATGGAAGCTAATTATTAGTAAAACATTAATCATGGGGCCAAATCCAAAATGGACCAGTGCCAATTTTCCTCAAATTTTTTTTCCATAGAAACAAAAAGGGTTTCTGTGTCTCTGGCCCCAGGCCACGCCAAGTTGATCAAGAGGTCTAAATTTAGGCTTCTACAGAAGAGAGACTCAAATTTAAAACGGGAACAAAAAAAAAAATCCCAAGTCCACACGCGGAAGGGCAAAAATGGGGAAAAAAAAAAGTTGTGCTAGTACAAGACTTTGATTGCAACAGCCACGTATTTCACCTCAAATACCAACAAAACCATGATGTAGAGAAGTAGCAATCGGTCCCCAACAAAAAAAAAAGATTCCCCTTAGAACGTCGCTTACTATTGCTAAGCACTAACGAGAAAGTAACAACAATATTAGGGTGCGTTTGGTAATATGTACAACGCCTCTAAAGAAAATGTGATGGCCTTTAGTTCTGAGTCGCCATCACAAAAATTTGGCATGGCTTGCACAAGGATAATCTCAAAGTGGTCACGCGGTTTTGTATTGTCCTTTTTCTATTCTTGGATGGAATTACTTGAACTCTTACAAGCACTTGTTGTTTGTGAAACGACTTGGTGTCACAGATTGCTTGTTCAAGTGGTGTTATTGAGTAGTGTACACTCACGGCTGTTGAGTGCTATTAGACAAGTAACACTCAAAGGGCAAAATTGTCCAATAAATGTTGAAAACCTCGTTTGGTGCACATATTTAAACAAAAATTTAAATTTTAGTGAAAAATAACTTAAACATGTCAAATAAACGTTTGGAGTGCTTCTCTGAATTGGGTTTGTCTACCAAACTTTTTATTTTTCCTTTTCTCGAGCCAAATGCATAAAAGACTTTTTGGACGTTATTAATATTTAGAATCTGTTTAATTTATTGATTTAAATTTTTAATTTGAGTTAATATGTAATTTTATATAAAAAATTCTCGAGCCAAATGCATAAAAGACTTTTTGGACGTTATTAATATTTAGAGTCTGTTTAATTTATTGATTTAAATTTTTAATTTGAGTTAATATGTAATTTTATATAAAATTTTTTTATTGTAATAAAAAAATTAAATGTGACTGTTTTTAAAATTTATTTACCGTAATAAAATTTTAATTCTAAAATCAAATAACAGAATCTTAATAGCCTTTGAAACATGATAAGTCCTACAATCAGTCAAATCTGACCGTACCATATAAAATTTTTCCATGTGCAGTATGATATATAGAGATACGGACTGTTGAATTTTTTTTTAATTAAAAATAACTCAAATTTCAACGGACCATATTGATTTGTTCGTCATTTAACGCGTGATAAATTATCTGCACGGTACAACCATTAAAGACTGGTAGTACCAACAAGACTGCATGCTCAAATGACCATATACATCTACATGATGCATACTCGCTTACCTTATCTTGGATCCATTAACATGAGAAGTGAGAACCGAGACGCCAGTTTCCCCAACCTTAAGCAAGCCCTGCAAAAATTACAGAAAACCAACTTTTAAATTATAATTTCCTGATACTATGAAGAATCAGCCAAACTCCCAAAGGCTAAATTTTCTAGAACTCTGTGCATTATATTCGTTTGAGACTAAGGATCTAACGATTCGAGTTTAAAATTTGAGTTTTACTACAGTAAAAAGTTCTTAGAAACAGTCACATCTAACCTTTTTATTACAGTAAAAAGTTATTACATAAAGTCACATCTCAACTTAAATTAAAAACTAAACTCAGCAAATTAAACGGACCCTTAATATTATTACCTCTTCAATATCACATACAACAAGATCACCTCCTTCATTTGCTTTTGTAATCCCAAGAAGTGTGTGACTTTCTAACAACTTCCAGTTCTCCCAGGAGCCATTTTTGTGAAGCCTTCTGAGCCAGCTATCTCTTGTAGCTGTATAGATTGTACCTTCTTCATAATCAACAGCAATATCTTCTGGGCCATTGAGAAATCCTTCTCCAAGTTTAATCACTCCCTAAAGAGATTCAAAACAAGTAGTAAAACCAAATTAAGAACCAACCCTTTTGAAGAGAAATTAATGCGAATTGTATTTTTTTTTTTTTTACCTGTAATTGGTTATTTGGAGGAAGAGCAGAAGATGGTGGAGGAAGTTGAAGTGAGTTTGGTGATGATATTGGTGAGAAGAAGAAAACTTGAAGTGCAAAAGCAAGAAAACAAGCTAACACAAAGCTTAAAAATGCTTGCAAAGTTGGTTTGAAAGCCATTGGGGGTTGGAGAGTTGTGCCTCAGTGAGGTTTGTGGTAGAGGATATATTTTTGATACAGATAACGTGACTGTATATAATCAAATATCCAATATAGTTCTATAAAAGCATGTTGAAGATTATTGGCTTTTGTATATTTTTGGACAAGTTAGTACATAATATGATACTAATTACTAATTAGCCCCACAGTGAAGGTAATTTTTACAGTATAAATTGTGTTTTATTTGCTACAAGTAGAAATTGTTGTTTTAGCTAGCCGATGGAATAATTTTTTTACGGTCTAATCAGAAAGTGTTTGCACTAAAAATTTGTAGTATCCACTCATATATCATACATACTATTGAAAATTTCTCTGATGGACGGTTTTTACCAAAAAAATTCTCCATAGTAAAAACTAAGGGCTCTTTTTTATTATTATTATTTTTAGGCCAATCATGTTGAAACAAATTAAATTGCAGTTGTAAGAATGAGGACTGAAATAGAAAACCTGTCAATAATATAGCACTGTGATAAACGCACAAAAATTCACATTTGCTACTGTTGATTTTTGAATAAATTGTTAAATTATTTAAAAGCTTAAATTAAACATTTTCATGATTTTCATTTGAAATATTTTAATTGAAAATGTCTAGTTTTTACTTATTTACTTTCAGGACTAAAAACATAACAAAAATTATGCGAAGCCATGCAATTAAAGCCATAAAAGGAATCCACCGGCTGAGGTAAGTCCATCAGTTGAGCCATATAAGTCAACCAGAGAGAGAGAGCCAGCCGCGCCATCAACTAAGCCGAGCCGAGTCAAGTGGGCCCCATCAGTCAACGCGGAAGTTCACGCCTATTTCTTTCCACCAGCTCGCACCATGCGCATCACCAGCACGTAGGACTCCCAGCGCACGCGTTCTTACTCCGCGTCCAAGTCTCTAGCCGCGTGGGTCTCGTGTCAGCCTACTCTTTTTTCCGCATGTGACAGCTGTTCTCCATGGGCCCCAGCCGTCCCCTACTCACGCCAGCACCCCAGGATGCGTCAAGCCACAACGATGCATATGGCGGTCATTTTTCTGTGAAGAAGACTGTTGCTAAAATCTTACAGTGTGGCATGTATTGTTCCATTTTGTTTAAGGACACCAATGATTTCTGTCGTTCCTATGAGAGGTGTCAAAAGCTAAGTGCTCTGTCCCGTCGCTGGGGAATAGGAATATGATACCCTTGAACTCGATTCTCGTGATAGAAATATTTGACTTCTGGGGGATAGACTTTATGAGACAATTTCTACCTTCTTATGGATACCTTTACATACTCCTCCCTGTAGATTATGTGTCTAAATAGGTAAAAGCCTTGGCATGCTGGAACAATGATAATACTATTGTTGTGAAGTTCTTAAAGGAAAATGTGTTATCTCAATTCAGAACGCCGCGTGCCATCATCAGTGATTAAAGCACCCATTTCTGCAACCATTCTTCTTGAGGCTCTGATGCATAAGTACGATGTTGTTCATAAAATTTTGACTGCCTATCACCCACAGACAAATGGCCAAGTTGAGTTGGCCAACATGGAGATTAAGCAAATTCTAGAGAAGAAGATTAATCCCGACTGCAAGGATTAGTCTCTGTGCCTTTCAGACGCACTTTGGGCATACCGCACTGCTTACAAAACCCAACTCGGGATATCTCCCTACCGGCTTATTTTTTAGAAAACCTGTCATCTACCTGTAGAGCTTGAACATAAGGCTTATTGGGCTACCAAAGCCTTCAACTTTTATCTCAGCACTGCATGTATCAATCGGAAGCTCCAGCTTTCTAAAATTGAGGAGTTAAGGAATAATGCTTATGACAATTCTAAGATCTACAAGGTAAAAATGAAAGTAGCTCATAACAAGCAGATCTTGAGGAAGAACTTTGAGCTGAATCAGCGGGTTTATCTTTATGTTCCCTTTTGCATCTCCACCCTAGTAAGTTAAGGTCGCGGTGGACTGACCCGTTTATGGTGAAACGCGTCTTTCCCAATGGTGCTGTCGAGGTTGAGGACCCAACCAATGGAAGAATCTTTAGAGTAAACGGCCAGCGTCTGAAAAATTACTTAGATCGGGTGAACCAGGTCAAAGAGATCATTCTCGACGCCCCCGTTTGCTAGCCCTAAGTAGTTTGCTCATACTTCCTGTATTATATTTTCATTTTTTATTTTCTTTTAATTGTTTTGTTTTTGTTTTTTGTTTCTTTTTACATTTTTGTGTGTTTTTGGAGAATCATACCAGGAAGCATAGGTTGTGCTCATATGTGGAATGCTCATCATCCAGGTGTTTATTACCTTGTATTTCTATATTTTTCAATACTGAGGATACTATCAGATTTTGGTTAGGGGTGGTGAGCATATTCATGTGTAAGAATGATTTTTGTCATGTTGATATTTGGGTTAAAATTTTTGCAAAGTTGTCTGAGTATGATTTCAAAATGATTGGTTTGAGTCAATTTTTGTTGTATTGATACTAAGAAATGACTTCCAGAGTTTCTTTTTTGTACATGCTAAACCTTGTGGTAAGACGGATGTTAATGCATGTCAACTGAGAAAATTCTCAAGTTTAAGTATTTCATTTTTTGTGAGTTAAAAAGTAGAGAAAACGACTTATGAACCTTCATTGATCTTTTGAGTTGGTAAAATCATTGTCAGAACATCATTACATGGTTTGTGGTGTGCTTGGTGTATATGCTTGATGGATGAATTTTAGATTAGATAACAATGATCTTTTGTAATAGAGCCTCATTTGTTATCTATTTTTCCAAAAAAAAAGAGAGCAAGATCAACATTTCACAGATTCTATAGTTTGGTTGTAATCATATCTGATGCTATATAGCTATTTGTCAAAAGAACACCTTTCTACATTCACTTCATTGTTAAAATTGCAGGTTGTCACTTGCCATAAAAATGAAAAAAAAAGAGAAAGAAAAAAATGTATTTTCCTATACATTTATGGCTCTTTGTTCATTTATGTAATTTTCTGTTTGACTCAAATGAAAACTCGAAAGCTGGTTAGTGGTAAGAATGGTGGAATATTATGAGCAGTTGATTAGCCTATCTATTGATCAATGTTCGTTTAATTGCTTGTCCTAAACTTTGCCTTTCTCACATTGAGCATTAACTGATTCATTTCCAACTCCATGAGAGAACCTTTGAACTCAAATATTTCTGGCACCCGTGAGGTTGAGGGAGTTGTGACTTTTACTTAGTGAATTTTTCAAAGTTGTATGTATTATGGTTAGTGGTAAGAAGGTTATGGTTTAGAGCACACAAACACGACTCTGGCGTTTTGTTTGAAATGTTCGGGTGATTTATTTGTTTGAGATTTAGATTTTCTTCGTAACATGATTTTTTTTACGCTTGAAATACTAGGGACGAGCAATAAATTAGTTGGGGCTTAGGATAAATGCACAAAAATTCAATTTATTTCCTTTCACTTCATTGTTAAAATTGTAGGTTGTCACTTGCCATAAAAAATGAAAAAAAAAAAGAAAAAGAAAAAAAGTTATTTTCCTATGCATTTATGGCTCTTTGTTCATTTCTGTAATTTTCTGTTTGGCCCGAATGAAAACTCAAAAGTTGGTTAGTGGTAAGAATAGTGGAATATTATGAGCAGTTGATTAGCCTATCTATTGATCAATGTTTGTTTGATTGCTTGTCCTAAACTTTGCCTTTCTCACATTGAGCATTAACTGATTCATTTCCAACTCCATGAGAGAACCTTTGAACTCAAATATTTCCGGCACCCGTGAGGTTGAGGGAGTTGTGACTTTTACTTAGTGAATTTTTTAAAGTTGTATGTATTATGGTTAGTGGTAAGAAGGTTATGGTTTGGAGCACACAAACACGACTCTGGCGTTTTGTTTGAAATGCTCGGGTGATTTATTTGTTTGAGATTTAGATTTTCTTCGTGACATGATTTTTTTTACGCTTGAAATGCTAGGACGAGCAATAAACTGGTTAGGGGTTAGGATAAATGCACAAAAATTTAATTTATTTCCTTTCACTTCATTGTTAAAATTGTAGGTTGTCACTTGCCATAAAAAATGAAAAAAAAAAAGAGAAAGAAAAAAAGTTATTTTCCTATGCATTTATGGCTCTTTGTTCATTTATGTAATTTTTTGTTTGACCCGAATGAAAACTCGAAAGCTGGTTAGTGGTAAGAATAGTGGAATATTATGAGCAGTTGATTAGCCTATCTATTGATCAATGTTCGTTTGATTGCTTGTCCTAAACTTTGCCTTTCTCATATTGAGCATTAACTGATTCATTTCCATCTCCATGAGAGAACCTTTGAACTCAAATATTTCCGGCACCCGTGAGGTTGAGGGAGTTGTGACTTTTACTTAGTGAATTTTTCAAAGTTGTATGTATTATGGTTAGTGGTAAGAAGGTTATGGTTTGGAGCACACAAACACGACTCTGGCGTTTTGTTTGAAATGCTCGGGTGATTTATTTGTTTGAGATTTAGATTTTCTTCGTGAAATGATATTTTTTACGCTTGAAATGCTAGGGACGAGCAATAAACTAGTTAGGGGTTAGGATAAATGCACAAAAATTCACATTTGTTACTGTTGATATTTGAATACATTGTTAAATTACTTAAGGTTAAATTAAACAATTTCATGAGTTTCATTTGAAATACTTTAATTGGAAATGTCTAGTTTTTACTTATTTACTTTTAGGATTAAAAACAGAATAAAAATTTTATTGTTATTTCTTTCCTATTTTGTTGGCAACCTCTAAAACACAATAAATAGAGGGGCTGGCCTAGACTTTGGGTTGTTCAGTTTAGTTTTTCATTTAATTTTATGTCGTCTTACCATCATTCTTATATTTTTCTCTCTAAAACTTGTGAGAATGTATTGCAAGTTAAGTTAGAGTTCTTTTGGGTAATGTTAGAGATGAGCTTTGTTGAGTGATCTAATTTGGCTTTTGATTCCTTATGTTGTAATGTTTAATATTCGAATGAATTAAATCTCATCTATCTTTCATTTATTTTTTCAAAATATTGTGTGCCAATTTTTATATAAGTTCAATCATGTTTTTCTTATGTAATTCTGTCATGCACTATTTTGTTATTTGAATTATTTTGCAAGTTGTCTTTTACTGCAATATTTTTAAATTGATATATTGTCAATTTTGGATAATTTGTAATAATAATATTTTTGGACTTAACATAAGGATTTAATTTATTTGATATTTTTATCTTACGAATCAAAATCTAAAATGGTGAACGAAGCATAAAGGATTCTTGACACATTACTGTTTTTACTTTTGAATTTTCTTCACATAAATTTTCTTTCTTTTCTTTACTTTATTAGCAACAAAATCACAACAATACTCTTTCTCATTACTTAAGTTTATTAATTTATTTTCCTCTAACGTCTTATGATGTTAATATTTCTTGTCTATTTTATTTGTGAATAACACCTTTGGCCTTAATCAATTCACAATGCCTGTAGAGAAAGAAAACTTTACCAAACGCAACTTGTTTAGATAACCTTCTCAATTTGTAATTCTCAACCTCCTTTTCATTTAATCAATAGCAAAGAGGAAGGACTGCCAAAAATGCTACAACTACGACCACAAGAATTCATGAAAGGTGATAACGGACAGGGATTTACTTGTAATTATCAATTCCCATAAAACTTAAAAGAAAAGAAAATTAATGTTCCATAACATGACTTGGTTTAAATGAAATTCCATTTCAAAGAGAAACTCTTTGAACACAACCTTTGGTTCAATGCATCAACTTGTCATCTTCTGTCATTGGTGATTACTCATGGATGGAGTAGGCTTTCCGTGCCGGACCCTCATCAATCATATAAGCCTAAAACCGTCAATGATTGGTGTTTTTCAGGCACATTACCAAAATGGATTAATGGAAGTTATACCATGACCTCTAATCTCACAAGTTTCCCCAATATCAATAAAACGACACATCAGAACACAAATCAATGAAAACCCATTATTCTCCCTGGTTTAATAGTCACAAACCTATGACCAAACCCCTATATATATATATATGTATACTTGTGTGTTAAGGTACATCTAAGGGTATCACACATTTTGTGAACGATCAACTTATATCAAAATTGTATTGTTGTGGTTGCAAACTTAATCTGGCTACTACAAACCACGCCAACCTTCAGCATTGAGCTACTAAATTTGGATATTCCAACTCCCTTATTTTGTAGGGGAAAATTTGAAGACCATTATGTTATAATTAAAGAGAAGTTTTTGGTTACAAATATTGTGGTGTTCTGTTTCTGAAATCAGTAGTTCCATTTGATTTGTATACCTTTTCTATTTGTTGTCCTTATTATATGATTTGACATTTTCCTACTAGATACTGTTACTGCATTTTGTTTTTGGTTTACAATAGGACATAGTTCTCAACATTCATATATCTTTTTTAATTTAATATGATTGTAATATGATCGTCTTACAGTTTAAAATAAAGACTTAAGTTCTTCAAAAAACCAACAAAAACAAAACGAATCCATATGTACATGCAAAAGTAAGTAGTGTAATATTTATATTTTATTTCTATAAAGGTATAACAATAAATTTCCTTTACACAACATGTAAGATCAGTCCTTGGCAAAAGCAGTTAAAAAAACAAGTTTTTCTTTTCATATCCTTCCACACAATTTTGTTTTAATTTACTTGTCACCATATCCAACAATTTTTCCTATACTACATCATTCAGAAAATCTCGTTCCATAAAAAATATTACAAAAACACACATGGACCCACATTATATTACAAACCTTAAATAACTCTTATCTGTTCCTCTCATCATCCAACAAAGAAGCCAAGCCAGATAGAAAGAGTTTGAAGAGAGAGAGAGAGAGAGAGCGAGAGAGAGAGAGTCCACTCTATATTTTTACTCTTAGAGAGAGAAACAAGAGAAGAGAGCAAATTCATCACTTTAATGTTGTTTAGCAGAAGCAACATCAATGGCCATCACAACAACAACAGGTTCGGATTCTCATTCCCAAGCACCATCATGGGCAGCAGCAGCCAGCAGTACTAGTTGCAAAGTCTCTCTAGATGTGGAGTGCGTGAAATGCGCGTCGTGCGGCTTCACCGAGGACTGCACTCCCGCCTACATCTCCCGCGTCCGCGACCGCTTCCACGGCCGCTGGATTTGCGGCCTCTGCGTCGAGGCCGTCAAGGACGAGCTCCTCCGCTCCGACCGCCTCATCTCCACCGAGGAAGCCCTCAACCGCCACATCTCCTTCTGCTCCAACTTCAGATCCTCCTCCCCGCAAACCAACCACGTCCACCCCATCTCCGCCATCGGCAGAATCTTCCGCCGGAGCCTTGACTCCCCCGGCGCCGTCCGATCGAGTTCCGCCGCCTCTCTTGATATCGTCGAAAGGGTCTCTCCTGAGCCCACTCTTATCCGCTCTGGTAGCTGCTTATCCTCTATCTCCAGCTGAAGAACTGAATATGAAGTCTGTTTCGTTCTTCTGGGGCCTCAAATGTCAAAGACATTTTTCAGGTGGGGCTCTTCTGGAATATTTTTATAGTTTAGATCCTAATGTCAAAGTAATGGGTTCATACGTGTAACTGACATGAGATTGTTGTTCCTCTGTGACTTGCTTACTCCCCAATGTATATAATAATTTTTATATCATATCAAAAGTTCTTGTAGGATGATCTTCTTCTTGTCTAATCCAGTATGAGTTTTCTGCAGAATTGTTTTTTATTCTGGTTTGTGGTATGTACTGTTTTTGAGAATTTTCTTACTTCAAAATTTCTCAGGCTAGTTTTCCTGGATGGCTGTTGATGTGGCCTATAATTATTCTTTGGTATCTAAGGGGCACAATAGTAAAGAAAGAAACCGTTAAAGGGTGGAATAAAGGAATATTAGAGAGTTTTTCCCCCCCTTGATGTTTAATGGTGTAATTAGCTGGTTATTTAGAGGTCTTTAGGCAAACACAATGATGTGGAAGAGGTTAAAAGGGAATACTGGATTCTACAAAAGATGATGACAGAGAATGAAATTGCTGAGAAGATTCTTAAGAGGAAACGAAAACAGACTGAAAAACTACAGTTCTCTGACATTGTGGAAATTCACTGTAGTAAAATTCTCTACTTCAGTGAACTTGAGGTCTAAAGAAGTTTCTGGATATATCAGGGCAGAACCTTTTCAACCTAGACTGGACACTAGAATATAGCGGGTACGACAAAAAGCCCGTTTTACGTAATTAGACAGTGAAAGAAGAGGAGTAAAAACTATAGTTAGTATTAGAATCACGTGATTAGAATTATTTTTGATTTATGTGTATTTTTTATGAGAGAAAATACTGTAACGAATTACGAACTATAATTTAAATCAGAAAATGAATCCACCTATCAAACATCACCTAAACGTTTATAGTTAGCATTTGAACCCCACGTTCTTGAAAATACTTAATGAGACCTAAACATTATTTAAATTTTCAGTTAATCAATAAAAATTAAATAACAAAGTCTACAAAGTCTTTATTTTAGAGTACAAGTTTTAAAAGTCATTTTAAAGTAGCTCTTTTTTAAGGAGTCACATTTTTCATCTTTGACTGTAAGCTCTTCTACATGACCAAAGAACTTCTGGAATACTATCAAAACTCTCCCAAAAACAACCTTTGAGCTCATGAAAACAAAAATTGGTCCCAATAAGCAAGGCCAAATAAGCTTATTTCTCTTTAAATGCGGGACAGGCAAATTGCCAACATATCCTGTTGGTTTGTAACTTGCAAGTACCACTCGGCAGAAATTCTCTTCTACTTGCCCCCTTTTTTCTTCCTGTCTGATGAATGTTTTTTTGCCATCCATTTCATTCAAACAGAAATGTATTTTAACAATCCCAATACTTATGGCTTAATAACGACATTGTAAAGAGCATTATTCTCGGAAAGAAATATAAAAAGAATGAGGACGGGTGATAATCAAATCGCAAAATCCAAGGGATAAGTATTGGGGGGGGTGGTCTTTCGGCGTTGTTTTATTCCTGACTGTTACTAGTCAGCCGTTTGACTTGAAAAAGAACCTGAATCCATCAATTTATGGGTCATAGCATATGAATTTTGAGGCATGCACTTTCTCAAAAGTAGTTTAACCTAATATGTTGTGAGAAATTAATGTTAGATTGTCCGCTCTATTTGTGTCTTTGCGGTGTTAGGTGTGCCTTTTGCGCTCCAGAATCTCAATCGATTGAATACTTTCGTCAATTGTGAAGAATTTATTATTAAAGTGCCATTTATCGATTATTGGCATACCTTGACAAGTGTCTAATTTTAGAATTTAGTGCATATTTCATTCGAATTTATGACAGAATCGTTGTTCATATTTTTTTGATTCGGAATATATTACTTTTTAAATATATGAATATATATAATAGGCTTTTTAGTATGAAACCCCCTCAATTTTTTGAGATTAGCAAGTTGGTCTCTTAACTTTTTTTTTTTCCCCGCAATCGCTTTCGTTTGAAATCCGTTGCAATTCTAATCCAATTAGTAACGGCCGTCAAATTGTGTACTGTTTTGACATGTGATCGGCACGTGAGGTCTCTTTTAAGAGTATTAAATGCTTAAAAAGTAATAAAGAATGAATAAATATATATAAAAAAAACTAATTAAAATATTTAAAAAAAAATCAACAACTCAGGAACCCCATCCCTCTCTCTCCCTCTTTCTCTCTCTCATCTTCGATCAACAAAAGCCCAGATTCACAAAATTTTACCCGTACAGCAAAACAAAAATAAAAATAAAAATCTCATTGTTGGGTTTCTTGCTCAAACAGCCTCCCATTGCATAGGCTTTCTCAAATCTAAAAAAGAAAGAAGAGAAGAACAACAAAAGCCAAAAAATTAAGGGCTTGTTCAGTTATATTTTAAAGTTATAATGGTTAGAGTGTAAATTTTAAATTAAATTTAAGTTATAATTTGAATTAATATTGTAATTTAAGTTTGTATTTAAATTGTACTTTAAATTAAAAATTTATTTGAATTTGTATTTATATTGGTCAAAATTTAAATTTAAATTTATATAATATTTTAATAAAAATTAATATAAAATTTTAATAATATATATTGATAGAATTTTATTCGTCTTTTTATTGTGAACACATAAAAAAATTATCTCAATTAAAATTAAAATAAAAAAATTATGACATTTTTAAAAATAAAAAAAATATTATTAATTAACTTAAATTTGAATTTAAAATTTTGAGTTAAAGAGAAAACTTTACCTCATATTTTAATCTTAAACTTGAGTTAAAATTAAAATTAAAACTCAAATTTAGATCAAATTTTACAAATATATATATATATATAAAAATTTAAATAAAGTTAGAATTCTCAGGGGTTGTTTGTTTACAACAAAATTCAAAAAAAATTTAAACTCAAATTATAATTTTATTTAAGTTCACGTTTTTTTAAATTTTAATTTTATTAAATTTTACTCAACTTTATTAAAATTATAACTTTAACTCAAATTATAACTCAAATTCAACTCAAAAATTACACTTAAATCACACTATAAAAAAACAACCCTCAGTTAGTCAAATAATGAGCTTGAGACTCGATGATATATAAAAAGATAACGAACCAAGGGATAAAAAAAATATATATATATTTTCAACCGCTTTTTTCTGGCAAAAATCACGAAACAATACCCAGAAATGAAAATCTGTAGATCATAATCAAAAAGAAAATCCTTGAACAACCCAAAAAACCCAGAAAACGGATCCAAACTCCCCCTCCCTGAACAACCCAGAAAACCTTGTTTTCAGATCTCTCTCTTCTCAATTCAAACAAAAACCAAACCCAGAACATGATCTCTCTCTCAAGCTCGAGGACCCAATTCCACAACAAACCTAGTTCGTCCCTCACCTCTCAAATCCTCGGCAGGGACAACGCTGCGATGTCGGAAATCTAGCTGGGGCGGGGTAGTGGGCTGCTGTGACGGCGTCATCTGGCGAGGAAAACCCAAAAAGCCCAACGAAGCTTCCAGATCCGCGCCATGGATTTGATGGGGTTTCTTTGAAAGATTCAGAAACCCTCTCTTTCAGAATTCAGTGCGTCCATGATTTTTTTTTTTTTTTTTTTTTTGGTGTTGATGGTCTGAAAATATTTGATTCTTGTGTGGTGAAAATTTATTTTTGATGGGGTTTCTTTGATTCTCAGCGAAAATTTATGATTCTGATTGTAAGATTATTTGGAGTGATTTACTTGATTTAAGTTTTTAATTCGTTAAAATATAATTTGATGTAAAAAAAATTTATAATACTAAAAAAATTAAATATGATTATATTTTAAAATTTTTTATTATAATAACGGTTTCATTTATTTTGTTAATTTAAGTTTAGAATTTGAGTTTTATTACAATAAAAAAATTTTATAAAAAGTTACATTTAATTTTTTTATTATAGTAAAAAATTCTCATATAAAGTCGCATTTTAATTTAAATTAAAAACTCAAATTAACGAATTAAATAATCTCAAAATTTAAATTTTAAATTTAAATTGATAAAATGAACGGATTTTAATTTTTTTTTTTTTTGAGAGAGATAGAGGGGTTGATGAGTTGTTAATTTTTTTCATCTTTATTTTGTAATTTTTAAATTTTTTAATTACTTTTTTATATATTTATTCATTATTAATTACCTTTAATCAGCGAACTAAACATTATTAATTACCCTCAATTTTGTAATTTTTAAATTTTTTAATTACTTTTTTATATATTTATTCATTCTTAATTACCTTTAATCAGCGAACTAAACATTCTTAATTACCCTCTGCCCAACAAAGCCATTAAATTAGAATTGTAACAAATTTCAAACGTTGTGATTGCAAAAAATAAAAAACAAATAAATAAGAACTAATCTGTCAATCTCGTTGATGGGTCCCATGACCTATATGATAAGATTAGATAACCTATATGATAAGATTAGCTATGTCCCTAGCATACCCAAAATAAATAAATAAATAAATAAATAAATAGAAAAAGAGCAATGTTGCATAGGCCTATGTTCCGTTTTGTTACTTAGGTCTATTTCACATAAGAATGAACAATTAAACCCAATGGCAAGAGGCGGAACTAAGGTTCGTTCATTTCGTTAATTTAAATTTAAAATTTGAATTATTTTACAGTAAAAAAATTTCACAAATAATTACATTTAACTTTTTTATTACAGTAAAAAACTCTCACATAAAATCACATCTCAACTCAAATTCTAAACTTGAATCAGCGAAGTGAACGAGACCTAAGCAAATCACTGCTTCTATTTTAATTATATTCTTCCTGTGCCACTTTAATAATAGAAGTCCGGAACAAAGACCTTTTTTTGGTGCTAAAGCCATAATAACAAAGAAAATGACCATTGCTTTTTCACTCGTTGAAATATTATAGCTTCCAAGTCTTCAATGGCCCCACATCGGTCACACGTACGCTATTAGCGGCTTTCCTAGCATCACATTTCAGCGTTTGCCTGAGTAGCATATAAGTCTCAAAGCTTGCCACTAAAATGTTACAAAAAAGAAAGTAGAAGAGAAACGCGAAAAAGCTTATTCCAATTATTATAACTGCTTTTATTTTATGAGACCGGAGATTAGTCCTACAACATCATTACAATATTGTCATAACACAATCAAGTTGGCATGATATGACAATTCTCGACTAGATCGCAGTTCAGACGGTATATGAACTGTTTTTGTCGTGATGTCTTGATTCATTAGCCAAAGTTTATGCCTTGAGCCAGTGGTAGTTCTGTTCCATAGTTGATTGTGCTGTAAACGCAAGGATTTTAAGTCATTTTGGAGTAATTGTTGCAGGTTTTCATGTAATGGTAAAATGAGTAAAATGATACAAGACACTCGAGCAAACTAGTCAGTTAAAACAGAAGAATTTACCAGGTTGAACGTCGCATGTATTGCTTCCAAGAGTCACTACCCGCTTCACGGCCACCGCCAGTTGCCTTTTCTCCACCGAAGGCGCCGCCAATCTCAGCTCCATTAGTTGGGATGTTTACATTCACTATGCCACAATCACTGCCACGAGGCCTACACGAAATTGAAATGAATGATGTATGAGCATCACAGCTTCAAATCTTTTGTATATCATAAATTCAGTAAAATAAAATGATTCTTCTCTCATCTTTAGCTGTGAGAACTTGACTTCAGGTCACAAACATAGAAGTATTTCCAATTTCCAACTGTCAAGTGTCCACCACTGGATTTTAGTATTTGGGATGTATTCAACTACATCAGAGTGAAAGCCAATTGAGGCTAGCTCAAGTAGTGTTTAGTGGGTATGTGAGTTGCTTTAAATGTGTTGAGTCTTGGATTCAAGTCCCAGGGGACGCAATTTAAAAAAATAAAATAAAACAAATCAGCGTCAAAACAGAGATGATGTCAAAAAGTTTTTTAAAAGTCAGAAAATTTCAATCTTCAGGCACACATGACTCACCCAATCCATTTGAAAATAGCTTCTGGCCTGCGGGTGAAGATTGAACTACTCAGCCCTTGCGGTACAGAATTGTTCAAGTGAATTGCTTCTTCCAGACTCTGCAAGTTATAAAACACAAAATTGTAGCGAAATCTGAAAAACAGATCATTAATAAAAGTGAACAAAGATGTTAAAGAGGTATAAACTACCCGAATTTTCATAACATACAGAACCGGAGCGAACAATTCTTCTTTCACTACGGAGGCACTAGGAGAAATCTCGACTATTGTTGGTTGTACAAAGTTCCCAGCTGACTCTATAACTGATCCACCGGTCAGAATTTTCCCTCCCTGCTTGCATAATATTGAACCAAAAGCTGCTTATAAGTGATACATTGTGTAAGATTTTAGAATCAAATAGAACAGAGAGATTCTGAATTTAAATTAGTTACAAAACATAGAAAACATGCCTCAGATTTTATGGCAGAAATCCCCTTCTCAAAATTCTCCCTTGAAGCACAAGTATGCAATGGGCCAACAAGGGTTCCTTTCTCCAAAGGATCTCCAACTTTGACTTGTTTGTAAACTCCAACTAATTGCTCTAATACATTTTGATATATACTTTCGTGAAGAAACTGCAGGTAGTTAGTGGCCAGACACACGCACAGACAAAAAGTAAAACAAATACTCAGTACTTATAGCTTCAATGAACTTCATGGAGAATGCAAAAATGGTAAACATAAAAATCTTTACCAATCTACGGCATGTTGTGCAGCGCTGACCAGTGGTTCCAACAGCAGCAAACAAAATAGAACGCACAGCCAGACCGATGTCGGCATCATCCATAACAACTATGGCATTGTTTCCGCTCAATTCAAGTAAGCTTTTACCGAACCTCTCGCTAACAGTTTGTTGCACCTTCAAACCCACCTGTACACAGGAATGGAGTTAATCTTAAGACCATTGTGATGGGTGATGTTCTTATTTGTTATATAATTAAAAGACGCAAGACACAAAAGACAACATTTGTATGAGCCAAAATACCTTTGAACTTCCAGTGAATGAAACTAGGGGAATCCGTGTATCTTTGGCTATTGCTTGACCAATTTCTGCTCCACCACAAAATGAAGTGAATATTGCACCGGGCAAGTTGTTTTTCTCAAGAACCTCAGCCACTAGTTTTGTGACAGCAATAGTTACCAATGGAGTTGTTGGTGCACCCTTCCTACAATACATAACACATTTAGCAGCAATGTAGCACAGAATCCACAACCCCTTTCAGAAAAAGAAACTTAAGAAATGTACGGTGTGATTTGATACCAAGAATACATGTCAGAAAATTAAAACAAACCGCGTGCAAAATTTAACTGCATTAAAGGAATAAACGTACCACACAACACAATTTCCACAGACTAAGGCAAGGCAGGCATTCCATCCTAAAGCACCACAAAAAGAAATATTACTATTGGAATAGCTGGAAGTGAGCATCATCATAATACAGGAAATTAATCACTAGTATAGCACTACATGCCACGTGCAGAACAAACTTCAGAATTCCATGATGAGCTAGTGATGCAATCACGTGTTTAGCTCATAATATATAATAAAAATCGTGGTTGACCTTTCAATCTACAACAGATGATAGTGCACTTATTTTAAGGTTTCACTGTAACGACGAACAAACAAAACGAAAATAGGGAGTATCTTTGCAATAACACTCAACAAAAAGGTCTCATATATAGAAGCATGACATGATCAACATAAGAGTAACTTAGTTTGTATAGCAAACTTATGAGTGAAACAATAGGAACGCACCAAGAACAGCACATGGGAAATTGAAAGCAGTGATCACTCCAACTATTCCCAGTGGGTTCCACACCTGGCATATAAATCATGCACGATATGGTCAACTGAGCATATTTGCAGTTAGTTATAGAAAACAGATCAAAGAAGTTATAGTGCTATCTTGAAGATTTTGATGGTCCAGTTTCAAGACTGCACCTCGAACATCATATGATTTGGACCTGCAAACAAGAAAGAAAATATAAATATATCAGTTAACATCTCAGACTAAACTCAATCAAAATGAATGGTAAACAAAAGATAATCGACAGTTAAAGCTTGGATGGACGAAAGACACAGTATTTACTTATTAACAGAAATGTCATAAAGCTATTTATATAAATAAAAAATACAATTAAAGAGCTGCAAACTCACGTTCTGAAGGTATTATTGAACCATTCAGTTGTCGGCTCAGCCCGACAGCATAGTCACACATATCAATAACTTCCTGGAGAAAAGAAAGGGGGGAAGCTCACAGTTACTTAAAATTTTACTATATTAAGACACCAGTTGGAAAATCCAACTTAACTATATTGAAGTTTGAACAACCGCTAAGATTCGCCTCAGAGTTTATTCATACAACATAAATATCAGATTGAGCCAATGAACAAGAGAATCACCATACCTGAACCTCACCAATTCCTTCAGGTAATATTTTGCCCATCTCAAGTGACACGAGCCTACCCAGATAATCCAACTTAGCTCTGAATGCATCTCCTATCTGTCTTACGATCTCACCTCTCTTTGGTGCAGGAACCTGTCTCAAGAATTTTAAACTGTCTAAGTAGTGTAAAAATTGGACTTTCTAAGAATTTGGCGTTCCAATTTCCATCTTAAAAGGTCATCCTATAAAGTTAAGTAACCCAATACCCTGTCTTCAACTCAATTCATGATACCATGTAGAAATCGGACTTCTAAGAGATTGGGTTCCATCTTTAAAAGACAACCCAATATCTAAGTCTATAACTACTTTTACATTTAGATGACACTAGACTCGGTTTTATTTTTATCCTTTACGCTTAGAACTGGTACCAGAAATAGCTTCTGAAAACATAATATGGGATAACTCTTGAATTGTTGTTGCATCAAAGAGCAAATAAAAACAGTGAACTAACACTCATCCATGTCTTGGCTGCTTCACTGCAAGCACGAAGTCCCGCTTCATAATCCTCTATTGAAACTTCCTTCACTTCAGCAACTTTCTAAATCCAAAAAACAAAAAACAAAATTAAAAAAAAAAAATCAGAAACATGGTACTAAAAAAAAAAAGCTAATGATCTTGAAATCTAAAACTCGACATTCAGTTTTGGATTTGCATATAACAAAATCATCAACGAAGAGAATCATAAAAAAAAATTAACGAATTGGGAAAATGATAAGGCGATAAAAAAAGAGGCGAACCTGGTTGTTAGAAGGATTGACAGTAGAGATGACTGGGCCACTGGCCTTCCACTCGCCATTAACATAACCACCGAGATTTACTGATCCCAGACCGATCTCCTTCAGAAACTCATACTCTTTCTTGATGATAACCATTCTCTGAAAACAACCCACGCAAAATCAAACTAACGAAACACAAAATCGGAGAAAAAAACTGTAAAAATTGCAAAAGCCAAAAAGAAATTACAGACAGCCATTTGAGAGCAATTACCTTGCAAATTCAATCGGAAAGAGAATATCAGAAAGTGGAATACGGAAATGCTTGGTGAAGAAAATGGGGGAAGGAAATAAGTGAAACGGGTTACGTGGGTTGCTCGCTAAGCTGCACTAAAAAGGAAACGAAAATATTATGATGAGAAAAAAAAAATAATTATTATATGGGTAAACAAGGATAATGAACTGATCGACAATGCTAATCTTACGTGGTTTGTAGTTGTTGGGCCAGAAAGCGCGGGTAGCGTTGCGTAATAGGATATTTGCATGCCACGTAGGATGGACTGGGCCCCATGTCAGTTATGCACGTGACTTTTGGCCCACAAAAGACAAGACCCAGCTAATTATGATTTTCTTTTTCTTTTTTTGGCTAGTAAGCTAATCTTGAATCTCGATTCTCGATTATTTGATGAATCGACTAAGGTTTTAGATTTTCAGGACCAAAAAATGAGGAGTAGCGAAGTAGTAATAAACATGAGAAGGTAGTACATAGTCAGTTTTTTAGTGGACGTTACGTCAGTTTTTTAGTAGACGTTTAGTTCATGAATTTAAAATTATGATTTAAAATTATTTTTAATTTATGTATATTTTTTATAAAAAAAAATATTATAACGAGTCACGAATTATGATCTAAATCATAACACGAATTCATTCACCAGACGCACATATTATCATTTTAGAGAAGAAAAATGGTAGTCATTCTTATCTAATTTATAAATAGGTGAGTATCAGGTATCCCATTAAATACTTGGTGGGACTTACTGGTTTTAATCTTATAAAGATGAATAGGTGTGCTCTTTAAAAAAAATTAATATATCACTTTTTGCTCAGAAGAATGTTAGTATGACGTGATCTTTGATAAAAACCACATGTCGTTTATGCATTAAACCAGTCAGAAAAAAGATGCTGGACTTGTGAGGCAAAATGACATTCTCGAACCAGTTAATCGTTATAAATGACATTCTCGAACCAATTAATCGTTATAAATGTTACCGTTGTTTTCTTTGCTTGCCGGTTGTTTTTTTTGTTTTTTTTTTTTTGTTAATGTAGGCCTTGTTGGTTCGTTTCATCTCAAATTTTTATTGTAATATTTTTTCTCATAAAAATTTTAATTCACTTTTTCATATTATAAAATTTTATTTTTTAATTTAAATTCTCAATTCGAAATAGCGAAACGAAAAATCTTTCTAATTTCGTGTCGATTTTTCATTCGTTTTGAAGTCATAATAAAGTACCATGGCCGATTTAGGATTTTTCTTCAATAAAAGGACAAGAACGTATAAAACGACATGAAATGAATAAATAACAACACTAAAAAACGACAGGAAAATGGATTGGCAGCACAAAAGAAATCACGAGAAATGAAGGAAACGATACGAAATTAGAAACTGACACTACAGAAATTAGAAATGAATGAAAGGACAACAACAGAAAACGACATACAATAATAACAAGGACAGCGAAAAGCTTCACAAACAAAAACGACACCGAACATGATGGGTAATTAGTTTTTCTTTTCCCCCTCTTGTTTGTTTCTGTTTACTTTGCTGATGAAGGTTGGAAAAGATAAATACACACTTGTTCAACCCAAACCAAAAACCATTGACAATTTGGTTGGGAAAAACCAAAAAGAGAGATTTTTCGCATTGGCAAAAAATATTTTTCCTTAAAAAAAAAAAAAAAAACTCTACCAATTCTTACGCGTGAGTTATGAATCTTATGATTGTACGACATTCTTGAAGATCATAAATAATCCAAATCCAAAGAAGCTGCTGAGAAGCTGCTCCTCTTTCTCTACAAGGTACTTGCAGAACTCCGATGGATAATATTTTTCTTGATTGAATTTGGCTTTATATGATCAAAACCTCGTGAACCCTTTTGTGTGTCGGTTGTCGTTTTTCAAATATTGCTTTGAGCAATAGGAATTAAAGCCTCCGTTTTGTTCTCCTAGTTCTCCATTAATTAGGGTTTCAATCTCAGAATTTGAAACCCTCGATTACTTTGATTGAATTGTAATGGCGATTTCCGGTGCGAGAAACCTCCGATTTCGTGGGGCTTTCAATGGAATTTGTGCTCTGGCGTTGTTTTTCTTGTTCTATAATCAAGATAGTTTCAAGATGAATCGCTTTGTGATGAATTCGAGTTCGGCATTTCCTTTTCAATTGAGCTACAGACGATCGGGTTTACGCGATCATGGTGGTCGGATTGAGGGTATTCGCCGAAGAATTGCCGAAACTGTTTCGAATAGTGCATCAAATACCAGTGATTTAGCCCTAGATGATCCCAAATCGTGTGCTGGCTTGTACAAACATGAGGGTTATAACAGCCACTGTGAGTATTTGAAGGCTCATCCCGAGTGTAGTTCAGGTGGTTTCTTCAATTACATTCCTTTCTTTTACTGTGATTGCAAAAAAGTTAGCCTTTTGGGATATGTAGTGTTAGTAATTTGGATGGCTGCACTGTTCTATCTGTTGGGCAATACTGCGGCGGACTACTTTTGTTGTTCCTTGGAGAAGCTCTCGACTCTGCTCAAGTTGCCGGCGACAGTGGCCGGAGTTTCTCTGCTTCCACTAGGGAATGGAGCTCCCGATGTGTTTGCAAGTATTGCAGCTTTTGTTGGAAAGGATGCCGGCGAGGTGGGTCTTAATAGTGTCTTGGGTGGAGCTGTTTTTGTTACTTGTATTGTTGTGGGTACTATATCTCTGTGTGTGGCAGATAAGGGTTTTCAAATTGATAAGAGATGCTTCATTAGAGACATTTGTTTCTTTTTTTGTACAATTGTGTCGCTTGCGATTATCTTGATGGTTGGTGAAGTTTCTGTTGGGGGCGCGATAACATTTGCTTCCATTTATGTGGTTTATGCATTTGCTGTTGCTGCTAATGAGCTTTTGAGGAAACACGCCAGGAAATTGAGGTTGGATGCTGTAACGCCGTTGCTTCCTGTTAGAGGAAGTATATTTTCTGAGGGAAGTGAGGAGGATGATTCTGTGTATGCTTCGCTACTTGAAACTGAGGATGAAACCGATGTACCACGTCTTCCAAATAAGTTACCCCAGTGGATGTGGGCTTCAAATGTCGCAATTTATTCAAACCAGTCTATGAGGGTTAATCCAGATAGGAATTTGTGGGGTTGGAATGATGAGGAAGAAACTGTAAATCGGAACTCCTTTTCTTGTTCAAAATTATTGTTGTTGCTGGAGATGCCATTGACGATCCCCAGACGACTAACTATTCCTATTGTTGAGGAGGAGCGGTGGTCAAAACCATATGCGGTTGCTAGTGCTTCATTAGCACCCATCCTTCTGGCTTTCTTATGGAACACCCAAGAAAACATTGGAAATCTGAGTGCAGAAATTGCATATTTCATTGGCATTGTTTTGGGTGGCGTATTCGGCGTGCTTGCGTATCTATACACTAGAGCTGGTCAGCCACCACGCAAGTTTTTACTTCCATGGGTTTTTGGTGGATTCTTTATGAGTATTGTCTGGTTCTACATCGTTGCTAATGAGCTTGTCGCTTTGCTGGTGGCTTTAGGTGAAATTTTCGGGATTAACCCTTCAATCCTTGGATTGACTGTGTTGGCATGGGGAAACTCGATGGGTGATTTATTGTCGAATACGGCACTTGCAATAAATGGAGGAGACGGTGTGCAGATAGCAATGTCAGGTTGCTATGCTGGTCCTATGTTCAACACTCTAGTTGGTCTAGGGATCTCAATGCTGCTTGGGGCCTGGACAAAGAGACCGGAATCATACATAGTTCCTAGAGATGGTAGCTTGTTTTATACAATGGGATTTCTCATGTTGGGGCTCATTTGGGCACTCGTTGTGCTACCGAAGAATGATATGCGACCCAACAAGATGTTAGGAGTTGGTCTCATAATCATCTATGTAATATTCCTCTCCTTCAGGGTAAGCACATCAATGGGCGCTGTTTCACTCGGGTCACTAGCGAAGTGACTATTGATGATTTCTCACCGTATTGTATAGATGGTTTCAGAGAGGCTATAAGAGGAAATTGCTCCTTTGTTGTGAAGTATTGACTTGAAACTGATTATGGACACTGTACATTGTCTTGCGGCTCTATTTTTTCATAGAAAAAAAAATGTTTTTGCTCGATGATCTATACAACATGTTTTTATGTTATTAACACGAAATAGAAACTTTTGAAACCGTTTTTCTCAACCCTTATCAGCAATACTGATTATCGACATGTTTTATATTATTAATACGAAATAAAAGTTTTTTGTCTGGTTTGAAAGAGGGGATACTTCTTTAAAAAAACTTTTGAACGCTTGTGCTTGTTGGATGTTGGTTGTAGATGGTTGCTGAACTCTCTCTAATTTTTTCCCTCTTGACAATTGTGAATACTAATTTGATGCTTCTTCATCTAGAGGAATTTCTTATCACTTTTTTTGCGCATTCAACTTTTCCATCTAGGTATTCATGGAGATAATATTTCTGTTTAGTTTCTTAACACCCCGTACATGTTTTCGACGTTGGATAGTGCATATTTTATCCTTTTAACCTGATAAAATTAGCTCTTTACTAATTTGAGTTCCGGGGAAATAACCCTTTTTTGCACGTTTTCAGAATCTTTTAAGCCAAAGACACTGCTATTTTTGCTAGATGCTCTGCAACGGCCTAGTTAATCAAAAATGAGTACAGCTTCAGAATTTCCGTGCTAAGTTGTATTAGTATAAAATCTTTTTAAGAGTTTGTTTCTCTAAAGAGGGTCCGTCAATACTCAATATAAAGAATAAAAGGAGAATATATTCGAATGAGTTTCAATCTTCTAATCTATCTTAAACGGTGGAGTATTTCTTTTTCCATACCCTCTCACATAATTTACGTTTATTATTACAATTACAATTACTATGAAGTTTTATAACCTCTCACATAAATTTTTTATTTATTATTAATAAGTTAAAGATCGACATGTTACTGCTCGGCCAAAGTACAGCCTGACCACAATCATCAATAATTAATAAGGTGCCTTTAGTTCATAAGAGTTTAAATCTTTTTATTACAGTGTATTTTCTCATAAAAAAATATTAATTTTGTTTAAATTTTCTATTCAAACTACATCTAAAAAAGTTCCGATTAAACCATGAAACATGATGGCTATAGTTCACATGTTTGTAAGCTTAATTTTTTTTGCTTGAATATAATATAGTACTTAGCTTAATTAACATAACAATGTATGTCCTTAAAAAAAAAAAAGAAAAAAAAAGCATAACAAGGCAACCTTGAAGACTTCCCTTGGAAAGTCTCGTCAGGTTTTATTTATTTTTTTTTATTATTATTTTTTTTTTTTATGTCCAGGGAAAAATAAAATAAAGAAACAGATTAGGTGTAAGAATACTTTGCCTAATTGGATAAAGACTCCGAAGCGCAGTCTAATTGGACGTTGTAAACGTCACATTATTACCATTGTAGAAACCCAATAATTAATAATAACTGGATTGGATCAAAAACGCAGAAAATTTCAAGTTTTGTCTTCCTTTCTTCACGTTATCTTTGTCGCTCTTTCTTTCCTTTTCTACTCTCCAAAAAAAAAAAAAAAAAAAAAAAAAAGAGAGAGAGAGAGAAAATCAAAATCCCATCTTTCCCCAGTCTCTGATAATTCACGATCTCAAAATCCGATCGAAAATGATGCACATGACCTTATACTGGAGCAAGGCCGTGACTCTCCTCATCGACTCATGGAAGACCGATTCATGGACGAGTTATCTCCTCACCTTACTAGCCTGTTTCCTCGTCTCGGCTTTCCACCAGTACCTGGAGGATAGACGGATCAGATTCAAAGCCTCCCTCGCCGCCGATCGATCTCCGCCGTCGATCGACGCGCCGCTCCTTTTTAAGCTTGGCGGCCGGCGAGGTTTCGGTCCGGCACGAATCGCGTCGGCCGTGATGTTCGGGATCAACTCGGCGATCGGATACCTCCTGATGCTGGCCGTCATGTCGTTCAACGGCGGCGTTTTGGTCGCCGTCGTTTTGGGGTTATCCGTCGGTTATTTCTTCTTTAGGGCTGCTGATGAAGAGATCGTCATCGTCGATAATCCCTGCGCTTGTGCTTGACCGAATATTTTTATTATTATTATTATTTATTAATTTTTTCTTTTTCTTGGGGTTAAGAATTTTCATTTTTGTTCCTCGTTTCTGTTTCTCTGTATAATAATAATATTATTATTTACCTCATATTAATCAAAGATAGATTTTTCTTTCCTCTGTTAAATCGTAAGCTCTGTTCGGATATACCATTTTTTTTTTTAACCGAAAATCAAATATACCATTTGATCTCTCACTAGTTTGTGGTTGGTAATTGAGAGTGTTAAATTGTTCGTGACAAACAAATTAGAAGTAAGAATGAAAAATGCCTCGTTCGTTTCGTTGATTCGAGTTTAGAATTTGAGTTTTATTACAGTAAAAAACTCTCACAAACAGTCATATCTAATTTTTTTACTACAGTAAAAAGCTCTCACATAAAATCACATCTCAACTCGAATTCTAAACTCGAATCAACGAAACGAACGAGGTCGAAATTTACCCTTTCTTTTATGAGTTATGTCTCTTATACGGAAAAAATCAAAATACCACTCAAAATGATAAAAACTATTATTTATTTCATTCCACTAAAAACTAAATAATTGATATTCAATTAATAAATAGTAAAAAAGAGCCCACAAAGACATCCAATAATTTAGAATGACAAATAGATATGCACAATATGATAAATCATATACTTTTCTTAATAATCTTTATTTGTTTTGCTTGAATTAAATTCAGAGCAAAGGCGAATATAAAACACATATGGGTTATTGTTATAGGTTGAGCTAGCAATTAGCTAGCAAGTGATGCTCCATTAATGAAAACAAAGATACTAATATGCCACAATTAAAATCATGTTAAGTGCTCACTATTAATTATTTTTTTCCCTTTCCAAATTATATATTAATCACGAATCATAATGAAAAAGTCTTGAAGAATAAGAATACATTAAAAGTCATAAAAAGAGAAAACCAATTACACTTTAAGCATCTTAATCCGCAAAAGCTTACTGTAGGAGCTAGAGAATATTAAGCTATCCTATCCACTAATTAAATCAATGATTACAAGCTTAGGAAGGAAAGATACAAGCATGATTAGCGAATTACATCTTAATTATTATTATTTTTAACTAAACCCAATTATTGGACTGGGATGATCAAGAGATCACTAATTAACTAGCACCTAGTGGATTCGCCATGTACGTAGTCTAAAGTGGCAATGACTCCGAAAACAAAAGCTTGATCCATGCCAGGTTTTACCACTACACGGTAAAGATCCTTGCTTGCCATTAACTCGTCCACCTCTTTCTTCGCTCCAACCTATGAAATTCAATCATTACATAACTTTAAAGTTTTTCTCGCTAAAAACTATTTTTTTTTTCTCGTAGCATGAAATGCGACCGAATTAATCTGCGAGTTCAGAACTCATTTTAAAAATAATTTTATTTTTTATATGAAAATAAAAATAAAAATATTTTTAATTTCAGACATAAATTATTTTTAAAAATATATTTAGTAATTTTATTAAAAGATTGTTTTTAATGTAAAAAAAACTCATTAATATCTCTATTTCTCTCTCCCTACTCGAGAGAGGAGAAAATGAAAACAAAAAATAAAAAATGATTAAAAGTCGTTTTTTATTTCTCTCTCATTTTACACTAAACTAAAAAATCGTTTTTATTTTCATTTTTTGTCTTTAGTGCGTCAAACGCCGTTTTAGAAACGTTTTTATTTTTTTCTTCTCAAAAAACGTGAAAAACAAAAACGAGATCAATTCTAAACATGGCATATACGCATTACCTGTGCCACAATATTGCCTCTAGAATCAACGATGCTACAATCGCGATCGGGGAAATAGCCCTTGATCTCAAAATCCCAATCCTTCTTTCTTTCCTTTGGTTCCACGCAGATTCTGATGGCATTGCTCCTTGCCAAACATGACTTGGGCTCTTTTAAGCTGAAAACCAGTTTTGCTGCTCCTTCGTAGTCAAAAGTGTAGCCCTTCCATGTCCTGTAAATGCTCAAGGCCTCAACCATCGCTCCCTGCATGCATATATATGTGTAAATTAGCAAAAACATGATTACTTATATGCATATTATTTACATGAATTTTTGCCTCACATCTAAAGCATTCTCAATACCTCGACGCATGTACAGTTCACTATGTTATGTGCATATAGTGGCGGAGCCACTTGAAGATGAGCGGGAGCCTGCCCCCACTCAAATTTTTTTGAAAAAAAGATTACCTTTAAAAATTTTAAAATTGTATATTTAAATATCCACTGAAATAATATATGTCTCTACTAAAATAAATATATTTTCTTATATGCCCCCACTAAGATAATTTGTTAAAAAAAATTTAGTGTACACCCCTGAAGTGAAAAACTGACTCCGTCACTATGTGCATAGACGACCAAAAGTCCTAGAACATGCTTATGATTTACGTATGCATGTATGTTTACATGCACATGAGGGGTTCTGTAATTATAAAATACAATTTATTGGCGTTGCTCGTTTTATGTTGGATTATGTTGGATTATGTTAGAATTATATCAAAATCGAATAATATGAAACTAATTAAAGAATTTAACCTTGATAAACGTCATGTTTAAAAATATCTATATACAATTGAAAATTTAATTTTCTTCCAGCTAATTTGCATGTGAAAATAATCTAGGTATACCTTTCGACGAATGAGAAGCAATGCTTCTCCATCGGAACCTCTCAGAATGAGCTCGTCTTTTGTGCCAAGAATTCCACAGCCATCAACCCTGAAAACAACCTTCTGGCTACAATCTGTCGCCACAAAACCTCCTCCATTTACCACATGAGGCCTCTTCCTTACCATGAACACCAATTGAGAAGATGAACAATATATCTTACTTACAATTGCCATACCAAAAATATTTTGATTGTTTTTCCTTGATATCGATAATTTTATGTTTGCTAACTCTACCTTAATTGCCTCTTAGTATAGTAATGGGCAACAATAATCAAGTTTCTGCAGCATGATTCATACAAAACATTCTTTATATAGAAAGAAAAAAGAAACGTTATGAAAACTAAGCTCAAGAAGAAGAATAAACATAACAAAAGTGAGGTTGCTCATTTCAAAGGTTTGGCGAAAGTTTGACTGTGGTGCAACACGTATTGAAAGTCGTGTAAGACTTAATATATATGTGTTGTAAAGCAAACTTGCTTGTGGAAGAGGATGATTGTTAGTTCACACGAGAGAGAGAGAGAGAGAGAGAGAGAGAGAGAGAGAGAGAGAGAGAGAGAGCGTGGACGAATGGAATTATTGGTTTCAAGTTATGAGCACAATGTTTAAGCTTCGGGGACAAAGAGAAAAAGAAGAACCTTTGAGAACTACAAGAAGAACCTTTGAGAACTACTCAACTAAGGATTAGAGAATCTCCAATAAAATGTTAAATTGACGTGTCAAAATTAAATTTTAGTATTTGAATAAGAAAATTATTCTATAATTTTATGTTATTTCTGGTGCTAAATTAATATATGAATACTTGATGATAAATTTGATACATATATGTTAAATTTTTACATTTAATTACTATTAGTTGATCTATTTACTTTTTCCATTTTATCATTACAATATTAACATTTATAAATTTCTTTAAAATCAAAAGAGCACCTTGAGACCATCTCGAGTGTGAATGTAATGGCAATGTTGTATTTGACACTAAATAATGAGAAAATGGGATATTTGAGATGTTATTCTGATTTGTACCCAATAAATAATATATCATCTTTTTTTTCATAATCATTAAGCTACAGAAGTTGTAAAAATATATTTTTAATTTAAAATAATTTTAAAACAGCAGTGTTGTAATATTTAAGCTTTGGGAATAAAGAGAAAAAGATCAAGAATCTTTGAGAAGTAATCAATCAAGAAATTCAAACGGGCTTCGTGTGACTTTTGAAATTTGGCAGCTCAACAACTAAAAGAAGGGAATATTTTCAGAGATTTCAAACCTTGTTGAGTTGTTTCTGGTGAATGAGAATCTGGGTACAATTTCTTTGAGTAATTTAAGGCCTTAGGGCATCTCTAGTTAGACTAGTAGTTGAATTGGTTAACGTATGGCCGGTCACCCTCAATGTCATGATTATCTATTAATTAATCCATTGCGATTATTAATATTTTCTCGCTCTCTTGAACTCATCCATTAGTTCGACATTCAAAATGTCCTTATCATGTGCCAACTTAAAAGGGAGGCCTTTATAAAAATAATCTAATAGAAAAACTTTACTCATAAAATGACAATTCAAAAATTTTTACTTGCAAAATGACTTTCTGAGAAGAAAGAAAAACGAAAAAAAAAAAAAAAAAGAAACCCAAAACCCTCTCTGAAGCTAGCTTCGTTTCTCCTCCCTCACGAAGTGCTCAGTCATGGCAACTTTTTTTGATTTCTTCACATTCATTCTCCCCAGCTATCAAAGCTCTAGATCCGCAAGATTGAAGAAATTTTTGTCATATTTTGTTTGATTAAGTGCTTTGAAGAAGAAGAAATTATTGGAAGAACTTTTTGGAGAACAAAATTTGGAAACTCCAGCATAAGGGAAGAGGAGATCTTGGAGGTTCTGAAGGGGGAGAGAGAGGAAGATGAGGATTTTGGGTCCTTCTTGGTCGTTCGTGAGGGCTCGAAGAAGGGAGGAGAAGGAAGAGAGCTCGAATTTGGTATTTGGCCTCAGGAAGGAGGCCACATCTGTTAATAATACCTATTAATTATATAATTAAGAATTTATTTAAATAAAATTAAAATTAAAAAGTCATTTTTCTAATTTTACTTTTTTACTCGGTTATTTTAGCCAAATTCGCCTAAAAAGTGTTAAGATCAAGAAAGAAAAATTAGAAGTGATTATCCAATCCGGATTCACTCATCATATTTTTCCTTCTCCTTTAATTTCTGTGGTCTTTCAAACACGTAACAAAACCAGTTTAGGCTATTTAAAAAGAAAAATAAAAGGGTTATTACAATAATCTTATACTTCACTGCAAGAATGAAAAGAACAAAAAAAAAAAATTAGTATAATAACCCAATCATTGAACTTTGCTTATCCGTCAGTAATACATTTTTGTAATAACTTCTGCAGTTAGCACTAAATTTTTGTTTCCTAATCACGCGCTAATTAAAAATAAAAAGAGACTTTATGTGTAACAAGAAATGAGATAGAGGGAGAAATTAGAATACAAGTCGTGGAGAAGGTGACCAAAACGATAATTAGTAAGGAAAAAGATTGTCTTCTTATATTTTTAAATATATATATATATATATATATTCATTGTAAAGGGAATCTTACCCTCTTATTTGTACTTTGTATTCATTTTCACCTTTTCCCCCCCCTAAACTCCAAAACCCCCACTTCACTGTTATTAAAATCATCTAACCATCTGATGTTACCCTATTTGTTATACCTTTATTGTTACTTGCTAGAAATAGACGGAAAAGCTGGATGTGGAGGACTAAGAGGGAAGAATGATTATTGCATATGAATAGGGGCAAAGTGAAAATAAGTGCACGTTTAGATATAAAAAACCTTATCCCAATTGACACCTATTAAATGCCGTATTTTAGAGCTAAATCGTACTTTTGACGTCTCTTTTTTTTTTTTTTTTTTTGACCAAGGTTGCTAGTAGAAAAGAGATTTACAAAGAAAATCATGTTTGTAACCGTATTTCGAGATCAATTCCCATTTATTTGTAATGAGACTGCAATCGTACTTGTCATTAGCTTATTAAATATGGTTTAAGATGAGGTGACTTTGAATTTACTTATTGGATGTTTGGTTCATGATTCAGAATAATTTTCTGTTTACGTGTATTTTTTGTGAGAAAAAATAATGTAACGAACCATTATTCGAATCATGGTACGAATTTACTAACCAAACATATTAGGTGACAAAATCTTGAGTCAGTGTTATTATCATTTCACTTATAATCTCAATAGATTCTGAAAGTGTGATTAGGTTAGAGTGTGAGCACACAATTAATCCCTGTATCTATACAACTATACAAAAGAGTGTATTGGTATACTTGAAAGCACTCATGTTTTTTTCCCCCTAAAGAATATAACCGGGCTCTGGATTGGACTCTAAAATTTGGGCCTTGAGAGTGGAACAAGTGCACAGCCCAGGTGAGCCCAAACGACACCTAATGGTACAGTTGATCCTTCAATTCACGCGGCAGTAGGTACTTTGGGAAAGAGCGGCATGCAAGCAATACATCTGACTGAAATGATATGTCGCTTCTGACCAACCCCCAACGACCCCACCATTCTCTCTTTTTTTATTACTTTTCTTTCGCAGGTAGAGGTGGGCCCACCTCGTGGTGCGTGCTTCACGATGCTCGAGCCGATCGAGCGAAGCCGAAGGTGCGCGTGGATTTTCCACTCGTGTACGGAACCAAACCCAAGTGGGGCCTGGGGTCCAGTTGTGGTGGGGCCATGTTATTGCTGACGTGGAGACATAGGATTGATCATGATCGGGATGAATGAATGACCGCAGATAAAAAGAAAGTGTGGGTTGAAATGACAGCGACACTGTGAATTCATGTCAGAGCACAAAAAATGTCCAACTTTGGATACCAAAGTTGCACTATTCCCATTCCTATTTATCCATCTTTCACAGGAAACCGAACCATAAAATCAATCTTCGGTCTTGTGTGTCTTTAACAGACTCGTATTATAATTCGAATCATAATTTATAATTTATATCATGATTTAAATTATTATTTATGATTCGTTATAGTATTTTTTTTCATAAAAAATATATGTAAATTAAAAATAATTATAATCTCATAATTCAAATTTATGAACCAAACATCTCTTACTATTCTTCTTCGTGATTCAAACAAAAAAAAGCATATTGTTCCATTTTTCCCTTTTATGACATTATTTGGGCTTTCTTGAAAGAAAGGTTATGGACTTTGAACTACAACACAAGCCCCAAACTTGATATAGCCTAAACCCAATATCCACGTACCATTTCTCCAAAATTTTTTTTTTTTTTAAATTGCGGTAGAAACTGCTATTTTGTTTTAGCCTGTTGGTAGAAATTATTGTTTTAACTAAGATTAGTTTTTCACAATCTGAACTATGAGTAGGAATAATTCCTTTTATCACGCGTAGTAAATTTTTTAATCTAAACACTCACAGATTAGATCATTGGAAAACTACTGAAATACAATTGTAAAAGAAAAAAAAAATCCTTTCTAATTGAGTAGGAAAAATTGTCTTCTTGCTGATTATACTGTTTATATTTATTATGCCTTAATCCGTTAATTCTTTTAACTCTTTCTAGTAATTTTTTTCGGTATCCTACCTTAGAATTTCAAAAAAAATAAAAAAAAGATGGCAAATAATCTTTAAAAATTGTGTAACTAATGCCCCCTCACTACTTCGAACTCAATTGCTGACAAAATTATGAATGTTTTGACTTTTCTTTCATTGTAGTTCTTCTACTAATATGGATCCAAAATTTAAATATTGTTATTACATTTCAGTCAAATATATATATATATATATAATTCTCATTATTCTCTCCCTGTTGGATTCTTAAATGGACTCCTTTTTCTCAATTTGATTAACAAGCGAATTCAAAACACCCCCAGTTGGCCACTTTTGTTGTTATTCTTTTCTACTAGAGAAGACAAAAAGGTGAAAAAGGATTTGCTGGCCAAGGCAATTCATTCTCATGTGAAAAAAATAAAAATAAATAAATAATTAACCGAGTTATTCTCAAAATCAGGGCTAAGTCGTCCATTCCTCTCTGTTTCTCTGTCTAATATTTTTTTTATAAAAAATATATATAAATTAAAAATAATTTTAATCTTATAATTTAAATTTATGAATGAAACGTTTCTTAATATTAATATTCTTCTTCAAGATTCAAAAAAAAAAGCATATTGTTCCATTTTTCCCTTTTATGACATTATTTGGGCTTTCTTGAAAGAAAGGTTATGGACTTTGAAC